AAACATTTGTTGTACCAACAAATGTTGTTGTGCCAAATTAAAAGGTTAATCCAGGCACTATGACCACTTCAGTGATTTGAAGTGGTCATGGTGCTTGGAATCTGCATGTCATGTGCAGCATTTTAATTGAAACACTGCACAAATGAAGTTTAATCCCTCTGCAGCCAGATGTGTAACTCCACCTACTGGCAGTGTCATTTGGTGTCATCAGCCAGCCTTGAACTAGAGGTCTGTTCTGACTAATGCCAATTCTGTGCAGCTTTCATTGCACAGAACGTCGGTCATTGGTTGAGAGCGGTCATCTGATGCTCTCAGCCAATGAATGACAAATGCCACAGCTTCCATGACTCTGCAGCAGCATGTCACCAGACGATCAGCCCAGAGAGGACCCAGATCTCTAAACAATGAATGGTAAAATAACAAAACATGTTTTGTCAAATCATAGAGATAACAAGGTGTCAATTACACGCTACAAGATGTAATAATGTGCAATATTCAAAATGTAAACATGTTTTTCTTTTACTTGAGTTTGGGCACACATATGCAAAGTAAGCAATGTGCTGTAATTTGAACATTAACCCTCCCCCTACTTTAAGCAAGAGGCAGATTCTGGCAAAAAAAGGCCCAAAAATGTACTATATGCAGTGCATCATGTAAACATGAGTGTGAACTGGCTGTCACATGCAAAACAATACATTTATTATAAGCCATCAGAATAACAGACTAGCAATATTAATAACCTCCCCCACCTTAGAATCCATTATATATATATGTCTATATCAATATAAAGAGACTAATATGACAAGAAATTTCATTAAAGGACATTTCTTGTCAAATTAGCACTCCAAACACCATAATTGCTGGAGTCAATGCTTGGAGTGTTCCTTTAACATATTTAAAGTGCCAATAAACTTTAAAAAAATAACACTTTTTTTTTTTTAATAGAAGTTTAAAGGAACATTATATGCACTCAGAACACTTCATCTCATTGAAGTGTTCTTGGTTCAGTGTCCCTGTTCCCCTTAGCCCTGCAATGTACAAAATTGCAGTTTTAGAGTTTGAATCCGTGAAACAACACTGTATGTCCTCACGCTATGCAAGTGGGCATCCAGCCTCAAGGAAAACCCCATAGGACAGCACTGAGGTGATGCTTTCATCGGGAGAGGTGTGGGTTTGCGGGGGCAGAGGAAAACATTAGTGGTAGGAATACATATTTGTATTCCTAACACTAAAGCGTTCCTTTAAAGTATTTTACAAAGAGGGGGATTGTAGGCAGTTAAATAATTTAATTGCAGGCTTACAGTAAGTGCTCATTTATTTAATCCTTCAGAAATGTCCAAGCAAAAACGTGACAGCAGTAGATTGGGCTGGATACACATATTTACACTGCATAAATTAGTCTGCTTTGACTAGAATTCATTGGTACATCTAATTACAAAGCAGCAGACAATATGACACAACAGAATAACAAATTCATAATAAAGCCCTCTTTCCCTGAATGGGACTTAAAGTGTTACAATTCTTAACTCGTGAATAATACATTGCTTTCCTCTCCTGGTACTAGGTATATAAAACAGAATTTAAGAATGAAGCAAAATTAATTTCATTATTTGCAGTTGCAAAGTTAAATTTCATATGAAAACAAATACTGCTACTAGAGACATAAGTGACGGACAAAATGTAAATATACAGCAATTGAAACAGAAGATCGTATTCACAGCGCTAGTGATTTATGTACAAATGGTAAAATGACAATTTCCCCCAAGGCATTTTGCTCGTGTAAGGTAGGATAAGGTGCAGAATAAAGCACAGGACAGTGGCAACCAACAACCATATTCTTTGTTATGGTGTATGGACATTGAAAGCTTTCTCGTCTTTACATCGGACACAGTTCCCTCTTGTTTCTGAATTCCAGCACTTGTTCGGATCTGTTTAACAGATTGTTGGAAATCCAAAATGTCTTCATTTTCTAAGAATTTATCTGAGTGTGAGGAGAGGGAAAAAAGAAATTGCTGAATTGTTAAACGTGCATAAAATACATATATAGTCAGTATTAACACACACACCGCACACTATGCAATAAACAAACACATTACCTATTTGGTAAACTGCTCCTACTTCTCCTGATGAAGGGCTTCAATAAAGGCTTCAAGTTTTTCCTGTATTTCCCGGACTTTTTCTAAACAGAAAATACATTGTATATGTGATAATTTGCCAGAAAAACTGTCATCAACATTTTTAAAAGGAGTTACTTTTTCCCTGACGTAGTTACATATGCCTGGCTCTTTTACCATTATATCACCAGGGAAGTATGTAAGTGGAAGACTAATACAAAGTCAATGAGCAAGAGTTGTAACTAGATTAAGTATCAGCGGCAAAATAAGAAAACTGTGATACAAAAAAAAAAAAAAAATGGAAAACCAAATTATTTAGAAATACTTTGTCTATTAAAATGCTATCAGGTACTTTTCATCCCCTCTCCCCCCACCCAGTTTTAGTTTATTTAAAATTATATCTAAAAAGGCACTCCAGACCATAACTTACCCATCCTTTTTAAAGCATATAAACTGCACTAATACGCACAAAAAACATATAAAATAAAAACCTGAAGTTATTATGATGTGAGAGGGGGCCCAAGCACTGTCTTACACCGAGGAGTTAAAATAGTTAACAAATGGTTTAAACCCAATTCCTCTAAATGTCAGAGGCTTCAATCAGGAAGGTGTTCAATCAGGTCTCAGGCTATTGCTGCCTCCCCATTTAGAAAACAGTGTGAAAAAGATATGTGAAAGGTACACGCTCAGCCTATGCTCAGTACACAGTTTCCTGACTGAAGTCGTGAAATGGAGGCACAAAGCAATCAGGTGCTGGATTCCAGATTTTGTGGTTAAACCATTTGTTAACAGTTCAACCCCTTAAGTTAACATGGTGCTCAAGACCTAGTCAAACCATAACAACTTAATTGCCATAACAACTTAATCTGCCTCAACTACCTCCATCTTGCAAGCCATAGCACATTATAAACAGTGGACACCCAGATATGTAGTAAGGATACTGCTACTCGTTTGTCCTCTCTGTTGCTGTCATATAGCGGTCATGCTTAGCCGTGGCTTCTGAGCAGAACTGAAGCTGTGCACAAAAAGTGTTGAAATCTGCTGGTCAGGCTAGCTGCACACACACACAGAGTTTATGCCAGACTTATATGTGCATGATACTCACAGAGTCAGTTTTCTACTCTGTAAATTTGAGCTAGTTTATACAATATTACAATCTAAATGAGATTGACTAAAATTACCAAAACGATGTAGTACATTCTATTGTGTATTAACAACATAGTCTGTAAACTGTAGTGTAGCAGCATAAACAGTTGTGGTTATGGGGTTATGAACTGACACAGAACTAAGGATGGTACCATAATCACTCCAATGGACTGTAGTAATTATGCTTAGAGTACCCCTTTAATAAAAACAAACAGGAGAATGTAACAAGGGAAAAAAATAAACTGGTTAGCCTAAACTTATTTCTAAGGCGGTGGGTTTTAACTATTCACCCATAGTGCTAGTTATGTCTTGAAAGTGGATTGTTAAAACAAGCATTCTCACTGAAAAGTAATTTGTCAGGCATTGGGTTAGGAAAGCCATCCGAGTTCCCAACTCATCAGTGGTACAATTCGATATTTACCAGAAAATAGTGTTTTACCACATTTTCTGTATTAGATCCTAGTACAGAGCCATATAAGCCCACAAATTCTGTACTATTTACTTCAGTTCAAAGCTGTCAAATCCACTTCTTCATAAATAATATGACCTATTAGGGTAAAGTGTCCCTTAAAAAGGTTGTTTGAAGCAAGTTTTTCCTTACAGCCTTAGGGCTTATCATAGTGTAAAAATACGGTTTTGGTTTCCAAAATTCCCGCCTTCATTGCAAACCACCTGTTACTTTACATTGGTCATCATCCATTCCATCAGGATTACTAATCCTTGGGTTCTCTTTAAACCCAATAGCCTTATTCTCCACATCAGAGGTGGAAATATATATCTGTCATTCTACGTTAAGGTCAAATGTGCTTTTGTAGGATACAGAAATCAAAGACATAAAAAGAACAGGGTACTAAAAATTAAGACTAATCTGTTAAACAAATTACTGAGAAAACGCACAGTGTTACGATGTTCACCACAATGCTGGAACATTGTGCATGTGAAAACCAAAATAGAGAGATCTAGATTCATTAAGAACATCAGTATATTATACGCGTACATTAATGCAAAAAAGCAAAGCTCACTTTAACATAGGGAAACATGAAAACTATTTCCAAAAACCTGTGGTGTGCAAATGTGCATCTCAAAAAGCTTGCTTTGGTATGAAACAAACTATTCTACACATGCTTTAGCCCAATGACCAGCAAATAACAATAATAATAGGTTTGCATTCAAGCTTGTTCTGTGAGATATGTGTACACCAACGTATACATGCCTAGGATTAACATATTATTGTAAGCATCACCCTTTAATGTTAAATATGATCTATACATTTGTTGGCATTTTGTCAAATAGGCAAAATGTTATTTTCTATTAAAGTCTTGCAAGCTCACATTTGAAAGAAAAATAAACTTTTAAATATTTGTCTTCAAATGTAAGAGAACAGACTCAAAGGTAATTACACTGCGGGGGGGAAAAGGATTGGGGATAAATTGTATTATTTAGAAATCCAGTCGTATCATGTCAATTAAATTTCTGTTCTTATGTCTACTTTAGAGTATAGATAAAGTATAGAAAAAACTATCCATTCTCTGCAGAGGAAAAACAGCCCTGCCTTGAGTGTCCTCTGGACAGGGTCTGTATTAAACAACCATCATTACTACATACATTGCTGTTCGATTACAACCTGCAGAAGTATAGGGACATTCCAGGCACAATATTTACAAGCATTCAAAATATAAAGTAGTGAAAGTATTATGATCCCATTTCTTTTCATGCTAGTTAATGAGTAAAAGCGGGGAAACCAAGTCTGTATAAGTGTGTGGGGGGAATAGACGTATCGCAGATACTTTGCATACACTCGGAACATCACAGATATGTTCTACTTCATCGCTACAAAGGAAAGAGAAAACCATGGCCAGCAGGAAATGAGCAAGGTACTGCCAAAGAGTTTTTCTTTAATTTTTGGTGATACTAGATTAATTTTTAATTTCATTAATACAGAAATGATAAGTAGGTATAAATCAGCCTGGAGTGTACTTTTAACCTCTAAGGAACTCCGCTTTACCACATCAAAGAAATTGAACTTCACAGTATCTGCAGGAATAGAAATGTTTACCAAACAAAAGTGAGAAAATACGTAGGAAGGTTTATTGTATCCTTTATCTGAATAAAAGGCTTAATTTAATTATTTAGTACTTCCTGCCTGGCCCACCGACTGATAAATGGTAAAAAGCCCATTGCTTACCTACTCCTCATCAAAATGCACCTGAACACACTCAAGTGGCCCTTTAAAAAGAGCCGCTAAAGGCAATCCAAGCTATTTATGACTGTTTAAACAGAATAAAATTTGCTGTTTAGAGGTGTAAATGCAAGGCCATTGAAGTAGTAGTCTGCTAATGTCCCGTGTATGAATAAACAGTATCTATATACATAAGGATCTTCTCTGAAAGAGGAAGATAGCTCCCACCTACACTTCATCAAACAGCAGCTGGCTGGTACACACAGCATCCTAAGCTTATCCCGAACTGGTGGGTGATAAATACTTTCATGCTTCCCGTAGCGGATAGTGACCAATGTCAGGGAACAGAAAGGATCAATTCAAGGTGTGCCTATTGCAACTTTCACCCTTTCTCTGATAACATACACTGACCAACTTTTAAAATCTAAGTGGCATGTTGTCTTACGTAATTAAAAAGTTACTAGTCTTTGTGACAGAACAGAATAAATTAAAAACAGATTTTATGTCAAAAAAATCGCTGCAATTGTAACCACACATTGGAACAATCACAGTGAACTCAATACTTTCAAAATAATATTGCATAAATAGAATTGCACTGTACATATTACATGCATTGACTGGTCAATGTAAGTCAGTAGTAGTAGTAGTAGAACTGCTGTTTAATGACCAAATTAAGGATTATTATATTTTGTACTTTGGTTTTTACAGAGCGTTAGATCATAATATATAGTCACGGGAAAAAGAAAGTACACCCTCTTTGAATTCTATGGTTTTACATATCTGGAAATAATAATCATCTACTTAGCAGGCCTTAAAATTAGGTGAATACAACTACAGATGAACATACAACACATGACATATTACACTATGTCACGATTTAACACAAATAAAGCCAAAATAAAAAAGCCATGTGTAAAAAAACTAAGTACACCCTTACTGCTTCCATAGGAATTAAAAGGCTAATGCCCTTGTTTAATTGATCATCAGCAAGTGTGACCACCTCTATAAGAGCCAAAGATTTAGAAGCTTGCTGGTTTGGAGAATTTAGGCGTGTGTTAACACAAGTATGAAAGACATCAGCCATGATCTTAGAGAAGAAATTGTTGCTGCCCATCAAACTGTGAAGGGTTATAAAGACATTTCCATCAATTTACAGTGAGAAAGATTATTAACATGTGAAAAACATTCAAGACAGCTGCCAATCTTCCCAGGAGTGGACGTCTCAAGAAATTTACCCCAAGGCCAGACTGTTACATCTCAAAAAATATTAAACAAATATAAGTTTCATCTAAAAAAGATTGAACAAATATAATTTGCTTGAAAGGGTTGCCAGGAAGGGTTTCCTCTCCTCTCTAAAAAGAGCATGGCAGCATGATGTAGGTTTGCAAAGTTGCATCTGAACAAACCACAAGACTTCTGGAACAATGTTCTTTGGACAGATGAGACCACAGTGGAGATGTTTGGTCATAATGCACAGAATCAAGTTTGGCAAAAAACAAACACAGCATATCAGCACAAACACCTCATACCATCTGTCAGGCACGGTGGTGGAGGGATGATGAATTTACTTGTTTTGTAGTCATAGGACTTGGGAACCTTGCAGTCATTGAGTCGACCATGAACTCCTCTGTATAACAAAGTATTCTAGAATTAAATGTGGGGCCATTTGTCCGACAGTTAAAGCTTGGCCGAAATTTGGTCAGACAACAGGACAATGATCCCAAACACACCAGCAAATCTACATCAGAATGAAAAGAAAAGAATAAAGGTGTTGCAATGGCCCAGTCCAGCCCGTAACCCTGTAATGCTGTGCATAAACAAATGCAAGCAAACCTCAATGAAGTAAAGCAACGTTGTAAAGAAAAAATTCCTCCTCAATGATGTGAGAGAATGATAGATAAAGTTATACAGAAAACAATAACTTTAAGTTATTGCTGCTAAGGCTGGCTCTGTAAGCTATCAAATCACAAGGTGTACTTAGTTTTTCATATGGCTTCTCCATTTTGGTTTTATTTTTGTTAAATAAATCATGACACTGTGTAATAGGTCATGTGTTGTTGCTCATCTGAGGCTGTATTTACCTAATTTTTAGACCTGCTTATGTACAGATGATTGGCTTAATATCTTGATATGTAAAATCATAGAATTCAAAGAGGGTATACTTTCTTTTTCCCATGACTGTACATGTTCAGAAATGTTTATGCTTGTACAGGGGTTACCAAAAGAGTTGATAATGAAGGATTAATCATATAAGAGAAAGCAAAGCAATGAATTTATGTAACTTAAACAAACAATATACTAGATCGGTGCTAAAAAATGAGCCTGTATGGGTACGACTAAAGGGTAAAAGGAAGGGATGGAAATGACCAGGTAGCTAAGTATTCCATTGTTGGGTGCCTACTAGTACACACAATTCTCAGCCTTTGTTTTCTTTTCTGTATTATGGCTTGAGAACATAAGTGGTCTATGGGTACTTGTCCACCACAAGACAAAGCTGCAATAGACCAGTGGAAAATTAAACCACAGTAGGATTCAGTCATACATAGAGACCAGTAGAAATGTAGTTCAATTGGGGACAGGTCTGAAGACCATAGAGGAAAATATAACCAAGTTAGGCAATGTTTATAAAATCGACTACTATATTCACACTCAACGTTTCATGAATTCTGCAACACTGTATAACAGGCAAAGACACATATTTCTTTGTCAATTCTCCCCAATTCCAAGTTTGCTGAATTTAAATGGGCACTTTAAAATGGAACTATAAGATGTAAATGATGCAAAATATGAAATAAAAAAAAATATATTAAAAAACCACACATATCCTTAAAGGGACAATATGGTCACCAGAACAACTACAGCTTATTGTATTTGTTCTGGTGAGTAGAATTATTCCCTTCAGGCTTTTTGCTGTAAACACTGCCTTTTCAGAGAAAATTCAGAGTTTACATTAGAGCCTACTGACAACTCCACTGGCAACTCCTTAGATGGCTGCTAAAGCTGCTTCCTTGGGCAGTGCTGCAGAGTAAGCAGCACTGCCATTCAGTGTCTCCACCCTCTGCATGCAGACACTGAACTTTCCTCATAGAGATGCATTGATTCAATTAATCTCTATGAGGAGATGCTGATTGGACAGGGCTTTGTTTGACTTATGTTGGCTCTGCCCCTGTTCTGCCTCCTTGACAGTCTCAGCCAGTCCTATGGGGAAGCATTGTGATTGACTCAGACCGCCACTTCTGATGTCAGCAAACATAGGAGGTTCCAGAGGCAGAATCAGCATCTTCAGATAAGAATGTACTATATTTAGGGAGGCAACGGAAGGCCAGGGGGGCTAGATGGTGGTTTTAACACTATAGGGTCAGGAATACATGTTTGTGTTCCTGACCCTATAGTGTTCCTTTAAAATACTATTTTTGGTACTGTTTAGTGGGTCTATCTGAAGCAGGGAGAGACTCTTATTCCATTATTCCCAATCCAGGAAGAGATTATAGGATAAGTAGTTAATCCCCAAGCGTTTAGGATGAATGGAAGTGCTCTGTAAATACGCAGTCGTCATACCATAGTTGCCATCACATCAAACGTAGCTTAGTTCATTGTTTAAATGTGCACTATGAGAAAAGGTCCATGCACAAGTGGTCAGCAACTTGGCTCTCTCTTTGGGGAGGAGAAAGAAGTTATCCCAAATTGTGCAAAGTGGGGGTAAATGCTATGGGGCAACTGGAAAGTATTCTGGCTGCTTGACTGACAGTTTTGAAGTGCAAATGCAAAGTTGTGCTGGTGATTTAATTGACCCTTTAAGCATCATAACCATTACAATACTCTGTTGTGGTTATGGTGCAATAAGTATGATCACCTTTTTTTTATATATATATGCTTTCAGAAAGCTACCCAAAGCCAAAGTTTCAGCTGCAGCTTAGATGATGCTAATGTAGCTCCAACGTTTACAGCCTATTACTGCACAACCAAGGTTGGTTGGCTTGTGTGAAATGTTCATTATCTGTTCGGCAGCAAAGGGGCCAAGCGTTTTGTACCGGCAAAGCTCTAGCTTTTGTCAAAAAGAGCCTGTCAAAGAAAAAGACAGGTTGGCACCCAAAAAAATCCTTAAATGAACACTATAGGGTCAGTAACGCAAACGTACTCCTTACCCTATAGTGTTAAAATCACCATCTAGCTCCCCCAAACCTCCCTGGCTCCCTCAAATGTGCAGCTGCTGCCTCTGCCCCTGATCTGCCTGCTGACATCATCAAAAGTGGTGGTCTGAACCAACACAATGCTTCCCAATAGGATTGGCTGAGAGTGTCAGGAGGCAGATCAGGGACAGAGCCAGCACAAGTCAAACACAGCCCTGGTCAATCAGCATCTCCTTATAGAGACTAATTGAATCAATGCATCTCTAAGAGGAAAGTTCAGTGTCTGACTGTGTTGGCTTTATAAGTAATTATAATAGTACAGATATTTTCAAAACGTAATTTATTAATGGATGCATAAATCAAAACACATCACACACATAAAGATGATATATTGGGTACAATTTGCTTGACATGGCATTTGAGAGAAGTACCACTCCAAGATGTTCAACAGGTTTTTGTGATTTTGGCAATGAAGGATACCAATATGGGCTCAACCCAAGTTCATTATACCCATAACAGAGGAAGCAGAATCTGCAGATACTCTAAGCATCATTTCTACATGAAACACTGCTCTGAACTCAAAATCCCTTGGCAGTAAGCATGAGTCACATCATGAACCCAAGGAATAAATATCCTTTCCGGGTTCACGGTCCGCTTAACGGATCTAATCAACCATTTATGTATTTGACAATTAGTTAAGAAGGCTATTTCAGTGGAATTTCGGACATAAACAGCGTTCATAATGCAAAGTTAAAATAGTAGTAAGTTGCCTTCTCCTCACCCCACCACCCCTCCAAAAAAATAACTGTTATTGGCTATGAGCTCATGTTCCTTCTGTACTGAATTACTAAAAGCATTTGATCCCAAGCCACCTTTATCTGGTTATGTGCAACTACTGTTCTTAGTAGTGAAATACTACTTCCTTGGACTCACACAGAGCCAAGATTGAGAACACAAGGTCTCTCCCCATCAATTCTCCGAGACAAACGCTTTACCTCTAAATTGTATTCTGTCTATTAAAACCTTCTGTCAGCGTCTATATCAAAATTTGAAGCAGGGGGTCTATAGCTCTCTTTTTGACAAACTATGCTTTCTTTCTGTTGATAAAGCATAGCATATTATTGAATTCAATTTTTTTCCAATTTCCATATGACTGCAATAGTAACTACAGTATGAATATATATAAATAAAAAATGTGGAATATAAAACACACACATTTACTTAAAAATTGTCATTCAATTTCATGCTTCACAACATTACACTACAATGATGCTCCCTTGCCTTTGCAATACCCTATACTCCTAATTTATCATATCATGCGAAAAATGAACTAATTTGTAGGATTGAAGGTATAATGCAATGTACAAAAATAATGTATGTCTTGTTTACTATAGCTGCTTGCTACTTTGTATTTTACAGTAGCCCTGTTATAATAAACAAACCGTAATTTGTCCAGCTTGCTGCCTAAAGAAACACCGACAAGGAAATGTGCTTTTACTGTATAAGAAGTTGGTTAGCATTTTAACACCAAGTTCACAGACTAGGCTTTCCCATGGATAACTTTTAAGAGGGAAAATAAAGAAAGGAAGCCACCCAGGCTGTCCTCAATGAGACAGGGCATCAATTATCACCTGCAAAAGATTTATAAGAGGACCCCCCCCTCTCCTTTTCCTTTAGGACAGTAAAACAGATGGGGTCTGAATTGATACTCAGCAGGCCTGGAAAAATCACATGGGAGGAGTACACGGTCTCAAGCATGCCTTTTTGCAACATAAGAAAAAAGGGTCAAGATTGTAGCAGCATGGTTGAGTTCTGGAAAAGACCTTTCCAAATCTTTTCAATAGATAATGGATGTCTCTCATTCTGCTTCTGAAAGTGCTATAAATATTATGTAGACCTATGACTTTTACTGCATGGTTTTGGGAAAAATCTTGGATGGTCCCAAATTAATGGGACACTATAGGCACCAGACCACTTTGTGTCATTGAAGTGGTCTGGGTGCAGTGTCCCTGTTTAATCCCACGATGTTAAACATTGCAGTTTTAGAGAATGCTATTACTTCCACTAGCTATCTACCAGACAGCCACTAGAGGTGTTTACTGCAGTTTCACAGAGTTTGACTCCATGAAAGAATGCTAGGCATCTCCACGCTTTGCACAAAAATCCCCCACAGGAAAGCACTGATTAAATTTTTTACTATGGGGAATACCGAATGTGCATGCGGCGCTCGTCAAGCACTTTAGGATCCTGACCTCATCAGGTGACATCAGTAGAGGCAACTTTAACCCTTTACATTGCTGGAGGTTGTAGGGAGGAGTACGGTTTTGTATTCCTAACACTATAATGTTTTCTTTAAATCAAGGTGGCAAAGTTGACCACTATTGTGATTTGCAAACAATAACTTCACTAATTCACTAATAAGCTACGCAAACAGTACAATGTATGTGAACAGTAACAACCTGTAAACAAATTCCTGGCAGCAATTAGTGGATTGGTAAAGTAGGGATACAGTTTGGCCTGCCGTCTCTTTAGTTCACTTTTGCTTTTAGGCAGTAATGGCTGATGTTCAAAGCAGTGTTATCAGCGCGAGAAATGCTTTTGGGTGCACATGCATTAGAGACTAAGGAAAGGATAGTAATATGCACTACAACTAAGAAAGCCTGGTATCAATCAGCGATCCATCATTATCTTCCGATGCAGAGATTAAATAATGTATCTGGCTTCCTAAGAATGCACTAAAAGCTGTAAAAATCCACATTTCAAGTCTGGCTCCTCATCAATAACTTTAAAAAACCACAGAACCACTTGAATCTTTCTTATGTAGGATTTAGAAGTTAAGTAAACCAAACATATTCATGTGAGGTTCACAATTGATGGGTTTTTTTTGTGTGCCCCAAGAGAAAAGGGGTGACTGTCTTTAAAAACTACTCTGTAAGACTTTTCCTGCCTTGAGACATAGCAGGAGATCCTCTTATCTACAGAAATTGTAAACAAAGCATTGTTCAGGGTTAGTCTTTTCAAACCTTTTCACTGAACTGAGTGTTGCAGATCAGTGCAATGCAATACAAACCCCTTTGCTGCTGAGCCAGTGTTGGCATTAACCCCCACAAAATCATAACTCAAAATGCAAATAAAAAGAAAAGGAAAAATATACATTTGTTAATAAAATATAAAGAATGCATTTTTTTATGAATCAAAAGGAAAGCTTTAAAAAAATAATGTACCATTAACATAAAGCTTCACATTAAAGGTATAGTCCATGCACCATGACCATGTCGATAATTTTAAGTGGTCACGGTGCCTGGAGTCTTTATGTGCAGCATTTTGGGTTTTCATCAGATACCCAGAACTAGAGTTCTTGGAGGGCTATTCTGTGCTTTAAAAAAAAAAAATAAAAAAAAATGTTTTTGCAGAGTGACGTTCATTGACCAATGAGCAGCGATTGCACTGGCTTCTGCAGAAGCACGAAGTATGTCACTACAGCAGAAGGGAGCCTCAGACAACAGGGCAAACTGTTAAAACAGTTTGTCTCATTAGCAGGGAACCGGGTCAGGTTACTCCTGGCATCATAACCACTACTGTGGGCTATAGTGAGTATGATGCCTGGAGTAACCCTTTAAAATATAGGCCCGTATAGTGCATCTCCTTTTGGATACAAGCATTTTTACAAAATGGAGACTTTCATTTAGCGTTTTTTCTGGGAGAGGGTATTAAAATGGACACACTATGACACCATAACAACTTCATTCTATTGTTCCAGCTTTCAATTACATTCCTAACTCTCCCAACAGAGCTTTAAAGCAGAACTTTAGAAAAAAAGCCCTGCCAATCACAGAACCTAGAATTGCACTTCCAAGGTCTCTAATCCAACTCATATAATTGAGTCGGTTCTGTCTGCATGCATAGCATACTAAATTAGATGGAGTCTTTGGAAACATGTACCTGCAAGTGCTATCACTATCTGTTTTGATGCTACTCTGTGAGATGGTGGCATATGTGGTAGGATTTGGATTGCATTTTTATTTTATTTTCTAAATGTTGTCAAGCGTAGAATACTTGTATTTAACTGGCTGTATCACACTACAAAAGTAAGAGAAGACAGGACAAGGAACGTACCGTATTTTATCAACAGGACAACAAGGGGCTTAATAATGGCATCCACTTACATTAGCAGCCCAAATCTAGATTGTTCATATATTTACATAATTTGCTGGGTAACATTTTTTACTAAGTAAAATAAATTTTTTTTAGAACTAAGCAGTATTACACATTGCTATACAGTGTGAAAAATGTTACCCATACCCAAATTTGTATTAGCAGATTTAAGAAGTATGTGTCAGAAGCCCAAAACTGTACCTACCTTGTTCACTTACACTAGAATTCTAAACGTCCCAGATGACCCATTGTATGTGACAAGCTCAAAGCGAAAATAAATTGTCACGGCTCCAATGCTTGGGCATGCTCCTGCCATGGCAATGCTGATGTTGTGAGGTACTGGGACTACTGTGGAGGGACTCACATGGTCTAAAGAGACCCTAATAGATTTCTCCGATTACTCCAAGTGTGATCAGAGACACAGAGAGGAGCTGCATTTCTATAACAGAGTCTCTGAGCCCATCAATTAATTCAGCTACACAGCATAGGAAGTGAAAGAGTGCGTTTCTTCCGCTGATACGGTTAGCGTTGCACACTTTAACATATTGGGTGATGTAATGACAAGGAATCCCCTGCTAACAGGAGATACATGAAGTCTAATACTGGATCTCACTTAATTTAGCAAATGAGAAAAAAAGAGGCATTTAAAAAAATTAGGACCAATAAAACAACATATTTTATGTTCTTTAGCTGCAAGTTGCAAACAATATAGAAAACAAAATTACCTTTTTTTTAAATCCCCACATTTTTTGCATAATTTAGTGTATATATATATATATATATATATCATGCATGCAAGTTCCAGTGCACTCACTCATTCACAAAACCAAGAGAGCTGCACTCACCTATACATGCGTACATTATAAAGGGGCTGCTGGGGGGGCAATTCATACAACATGCAAGATCTAACGCACTCGCTTATTCACTAAACAGAATTTTAAAAAATGGGGTACATTGGCGTTGTGGCAGGCTTATGCAATGTATGATCAATTCATGTAACTAAACCCCCATTATTTTTGCCTAGGTTAGGGGTTTAAAAAAAAAAAAAAAAAAAAATAATTACATTCTGTCAGCTTTGAAATTGACGTTTAGTAAATGAGTGACTGCGCATTATATAAACTCCAGTGAAAAAAAGGCACTTGGATTTTGAATAAATCATTCCATGTATGAAAATCAGCATAGATCAATGTCAGCAAGAGACAGAAACCCCAAAATATGTGGATTTTTACATTACAGATACTGTGATGTTTCTCCATACATGTTTGCGGGATACTTAATTATTTTTTTTATTTTTTTAAATAAAATCAGTAGTCTGGATTTAAACAACAATGAAGTGCTTTTTATAGCACTGGACTTGCATAGCTTGTGCACAATAATACCCCATGAGCAAGGGATCCAAGCCCTGAGAGAAATTTTATGTGCCTCTCATCTGAACTCTGGCCCACTCATTGAATATTTGCTGGAATTTTTGCAGATAGCTCTATCTTGCAACTAACTTGCAAGTTTGAAAATCATTTTTATTTGCTACTAGCTGTGAATGCAATGAGGACTGCTATGATCTTATGCCAATGCTTTTGTGTTCTGGTTTGAACAGCAGCAAATTGTGCCTACATACAGTGACAGGATTGTGAGCTACCATGCTTTGTCAATTATATTTTTCTGATTTGGGAGGCACTACTGAGAAGTTTCAATCTCCACTTCCAGTTTAGTTGGCATCCACATGGCATGATTCATCCATACAATTCCTGGATGTCATGGTTTTTAAAACACAAAATAAAATTGGCTACACATTGTATCGAAACCAGATAGATTGTAACACATTGTTGCTCGCCCATAGGTTCCATCTTAAAGATTTCTTACCGATATCACAATTTCTGAAAGTTCTCAGATACAATAGTGAACGAACTACTAGAGCAGCGTTTCCCAATTGGTGTTCCGCTGAACCCTAGGGAGAACACAAATGGGGTTCCGCCAAAATTTATAAAAACAAAATGGCCGCTGGCGGAGGGAGCAGTGGGCAGTGATCTCCCTGCTCAGCTCCTTTGTGCACACAGCAGTGATGCTGGAGCCGGAATATGACGTCACTCCAGCTCCGGCATTACTAAGGGAGCTCAGCAGGGATTTCGCTGCTTCCTCGCCGCTAGCACGCCAACCGCTCTGCAGCCCCACTAGACCCCAGGGACTGCATGCCAGCCGCTCAGCAGCCAAACTGGACCCCAGGGACTGCACGCTCAGCCCATCAGCCCCACTGTACCACAGGGACATAGAGAGTGCCAGTACTCCAAAAGGTAGGGAGGCTGGGTGGAGTAAAATGTTAAAAAAATAATAAATTGTCTGTGTGTCTGTCAAAGAATATATGAGTGTTTGTCAGTGAGAATGTATGTGTGCTTGTCAGTGAGAGTGTATATGTGTTTGTATGTGTGTCTGTAAAAGAGTATGTGTGTTTGTCAGTGAGAGTGTATGTTTGTTTGTCAAAGAGTATGTGTGTCTGAGTGTGTCAGTGTGTATCTGTGTGTCAAGGTTTGTGTATGAGTCACTGTGTGTATCTGAGTGTGTGCATGTATGTCAGGATGTGTGTGTGTGTGTGTGTGTGTGTGTATGTGCCAGTGTATATCAGTGTGTTTGTATTGTTATGTCAGTGTGTGTGTGTCAATGTGTGTATCACACTGCGTGTATGTGTCAATGTGTGTATCTGTGTGCCACTATGTGCCAGTGTGTGTGTGTGTGTATCTGTGTGTCAGATACACAAACACACTGACACACACCTGCACATACAAACACAGATATACACACTTTGACACATAGATACACACTGTGTGTCAAGGTGTGTGTATCTGTGTGCCACTATGTGCAAGTGTGTGTGTATCTGTGTATGTGTCTGTATCAAAGTGTGTGTATCTGTGTTTGTATGTGCCAGTGTGTATGAATCTGACACAAACATAGATACACACACTATGACACACAGACAGATACACACTGTGTGTCAAGGTGTGTGTATCTGTGTGCCGCAATGTGCCAGCGTGTGTATCTGTGTGTCAGATACACACACACACACACACACAAACACAGATACACACACCGGCACATACAAACACAGATACACACACCTTGACACAAAGACACACACAAAAATGGCGGAATTATTTATTTATTTTTCCCAGGGGAGGTTTGGGGGGGTTCTCACGATATTGATACACTATGTCAAAGAGTTTCACGGGAAAACACAGACATATGGTGAATGGAAACGCAAAATAATAATCCTGTTGAGAGCATGCAACAAAATAGGATGCTTCTGCCACTCATCCATAATGGTACGGCAAAAATAAGAGAAAGCCCCACTTAAAAATGGATGCTTCAAGTGCAGTGGCTGTTTTACTTGTAGCCACAAGATCAGTGGTATCTCATTTTCACACCCTCACAGTGGCAAATGCATCCCCATTCAACATTATATGCATTTACCACTGACCACGTTATATTCCTTATTACTTGTCCCTGTGGTTTATCATTTGTAGGGAAGACTGACTTAACATTGAGGAAAACAACAATGTTCCGTGACAGCGAACAGACAAACCAGTGGGTAAACATTTGTGACAACCCACAACAGACTACCTACATTGAAATTCCGAGAAATTGATCACATCCCCCACTACCAAATATATTCAGTTTTTATTGGAAAAAAAATATTTTGTGTGCACTATATATGAAGGAGGCAAATTACAGCTAAACAAGCATGTAACACCATTCAAGGTCTTGAATGATTATGTAAGTATTATCAAGAAATTATTTTTAATAACTAGTTAATTATCCCAATCATCAAGAAACAAAAAAACAAAAAGGGAACAAGAAAAAATGCAAGACATTTACTACAGAATAAAATGTAGTATCTCTTCTGTAGATATAAAGTCTTTACCACAAAAGACAAAACAGGCATGTGTTTCAGCAAACTGCTAGGTAGGACAGGAGAACAGTAATGAAATCATGAAGGCCCACAAAAAAGGAGACACAGACCATACAGAAAACAAACATGTTATCACTCGCATGCACTGCTCACAAATAAGTAGTTTGTCTTCCTCAAAGTGCTTAATTGGATCGAGCATCCCTGGGCAGCTGACACCCTGTGCTTGCTATGTGCAGCCAAGACATTAACAAGAGATTTCTTTATAAATTGTCAATGTGGTGTAACTAAAGGGAAGTCACAAGCTGCGGGGTCATTGGTCACATGCTTTGTGATGAAGGGTTTTATTGCACCATCAGCATTTATTGTGACCGAGGGGTAACCTTGGCCATTAATTATGTATGTGTTTTGCACATCAACGTCTTTCTATCAGCAAGCCATCTTTTAATTATTTAAGTGCCAGAGGGTAAGCATCTCCAGTGATATCTGTATTTTTGTACAAACAAAAAAAATTAAATAATATAAAATCACAAAATATTTCACAATTATTTAAGCATTTAGAAAAAAATTAAAAATCGTAAAATGCAAACATATAGTTCTGCACATCACATGGCATTCTAACATGCACTGTACAGCTAGGCCTTTTCTGCCTACTTTCTACAGGCTGACTGATATTTGGTTGGACAGCCTAATTATTTTACTGCTGTAATGGTTATTGTGCCACGAATGCGTCCCAATTGCAAGTATTCAAACCTTTGCAGAACGAATTACATTCTTACCTGGGGCTTGTTGGATGCTACTTCCTGCTTCCACTAGTTTGAACAGAGAGCCTAAAGCTTTCTTTCTGAGCTAAGGTCAGGAGAGATAACGGAAGCTCTGAGGCTGGAGCATCTGGCTCTCTGTAGGACGTGGTGGAAGTGGGTTGGAGCATTCAATGTACCCCAGGTAAGAAGTCCAATCCCTGCATTATAACAACTACAACGCTACTAGATAAAAAGTGGGAACTGTCCATCCCTTGATGCCAATTAAAAAAAATGCATTTAATGTCACTTGCCAAACCAGCTACCAAAGTTAAACTTCATGTCAAGAAAAACATCTAAATTAGGACAAGCATCATGGATTTGAGGCAGTTATAGAATTCTGCTAGCATCACGGTGGGAACTGCATAACAAAGCAAAGGGGTAAGAAAAGGGAAAAAATAAATAAAGAACAAGTCTCAACAAGTGCATTGTGTGCTTGGAGTGAAGATCTGATCATTCAAGGCAACGGCTGCTACCCAGGCCATGTTGCGCCATTCAATGCTACAGAATGGTAAACAGAGGCAGGAGGTTGGTCATGCTGCTCTTCTTAAGTCTGCTAATCCTTCCAAATACACTAAACAAGCATTCGCTTGCCCCCTAGAGCATGGAATCTGAACTGCTCTCCAGAAATCTGAGAACACTGAAATGCAAGCAGTGCACATTATATTAATAACAGCTTTCATCTTAAGCATGTTTTAAAGTGAATGTGCAGAGGAGGGTGAAAATATATAATAGACAAAAATGTTCAAGGGGAAAAGTTAAAAAGAAAATAAATCCCCTCCAGTCAGGAAAAGAAAATTATTCACACAATGTCATTCTTTAAGTCTCGCCTCATATACTTTACATTGCCCACTCTTCATTGGCCTACACTGCTTGTATGCAAATAAAAAGGAACTCTCATAAATAACATCAAAGGTCTTTACAAAATAATGGATATACTAGGCAACTTATTAATTACAGACAAAAATCTGTTCCTGTGTGCAAATAATGAGATTGCACATTTTTAAAAGCCATTCCTCGGAGGCATCAACAGCACAACATTTTAAAATCTGGGAAGAATTGGCAGGTTATGTATTCTGGTTTTTTATAATATTTTAGTAACATGGTTATAAAATATGCATGTCCGCTTGCTTCACCCACATGGGTGAAGCTAAAAATAATAAAACTCGCCATTAGTTCTCCCTTGGGGGTGCCGCCATCTCCCTTCTTTAGCGTCAGATGTTTTATCCGCCAGGAGCCCACATAATTGCTGAATTCTTACTCATGCGCAACAGTATAACACAAAAGTCTAAGAAAAATCATGCAGAATCCTTTGCATAACAACTATCAATACCAATGCAAGAGAAAAAAAAAAAAAAAAACTAACAAAAAACACTTGCCTAGCAGCTGTGAGAATTAGGGCTGCACCAAACTATTATTTTCACAACTGATTAACTGGCCAATTATGTTTTTCAATTAATTGATTAAATCAGATAAAATACATTTCAATACTTTTTTTTTTTATATATATATATTTAAAATAAAAATCCACACACAGCAAGGAGGGGGTAATATCCCTGACTGATTCCTCTTCTGCAACTGTCATTAGTTTAATACTATCCTTACCTTTTTGTGTCACTTTACCCCACTCCCTCTAGCATGTAAGCTCATTGAGCAGGGCCCTCAACCCCTCTGTTCCTGTGTGTCCAACTTGTCTGGTTACAATTACGTGTCTGTTGGTCCACCCATTGTAAAGCACTGCGGAATTTGACGGCGCTCTATAAATATCATAATAATAATAATAATAATCCACTGAGAGTATGATCATTGCAGACAGCATCCTCAGTGGTCCAGTAAAGAACCCACCTCTGGCGGGTGCCGACCACATAGACACTCTTCTGGCACGGCACTCAGTGAATGGGTCAGAGTGTTCCCATGGTGACCTGGTGACTGCATTCAGAATCATTATGCTGGATCTGTGAAGTAGCATTTCAAGTGCTCCCTGTGGTAATTTATTTAGTATATTGCCGAATGGTTTTGAAATGGGGCCTTGTCTGAACGGGCACCTTGTCTACTGGACTAATACAGCTAATCCAATCTACAATATATAAAAGCTGTACATGACAGCACTCCAGGAACTTCTAATTGTTAAAAATAAAACAACTTTTATTTAGTATTTAACTACAATTCGAAGTGACTGAAGTGCTATCATATACAACTTACTTATATTCACTGTTACCATGGAGTGCAGGTGAGCGGATTCTATAACTAACAAACAAACACACACACACCTCAACAAGTGCATTGTGTGTCTCTGAATGAAGATCTAATCATTCAAGGCTGCTACCTAGGTCTTGTTGCGCCATTAAACACTACAGAATGGTAAACAGAGACATATTGTGTGCGTGTGTATATGTGTGGCACTCTAGGTTTTCAAAATAGTGAAACAAGGTTATTTATTGTGTTTCAAAAAAATACATCAACTGTGCATATTTAAAATCGATGTTTCGACCCTCCTGGGGTCTTTATCAAGATCTTGATCCTCTGAGCTCTTCCTGCTCTGCTCCCTTGCGCCGAAATATGACATCACTCCGGCTCCCACCATAAGTAACCGGTGCGCGAGGGAGTTGAGCAGGAGGATTACAGCTTCCTCACTCCACTGTGTGCTTGCCTGTCTGTCTGCCTGTCTACCTACCCAGTCACCAGCCCAGCAGGAACCAGCCCACTGGACCCCAGGGAAGAATCCACTCCAGCTCTTCCAAAGGTAGGGAGGCTGGGTGGATTTAAATTAAAAAAAAATATATATATTATATATATATATATATATATATATAATTTGCAAGTGTGTGAGACAATGTGTGTGAGTGTGCCAGAGTGAATGTGTGTGTCTGTCAGTGTGTCTGAGAGTAAATGTATATCTGTGAGTGTGTGTGTGTGTGTGTCTGTGAGTAAATGTGTGCGTGTGTCACTGTGCATCTGTGAGTGAATGTAGGTGTCTGTCATTGTATGTCTCAGAAAATGTGTGTGTCTGTCAGTGAATGTGTGTCTGTCAATGTAGGTCTTTGAGTGAGTATGTGTCTGTCAGTGAATGTATGTCACTGTATGTGTATCTGAGAGTATGTGTCTGTCAATGAGTTGGTGTGTCAGTGTGTGTCTGCCAGTCAAAATTCACATTCGTCATAACCTGGCAAATTTAAATTGGAAGGTGGGGGGGGGTGTACCAGAGTTTCACAAAGTGGATTTTTCAGGCCATACATTTTTACCAGCTTTTGGTAATACATTTTATATGCTGTAGCATACTGTAGTCTTTTAATAGGATATCTGTCCTTTAGGGTGACTACGTGTTTTTGTACTTTCACGAGGACCAAGGAAAAATAATTTTGAAGTAAAATTTAAAGTTTTTAGATCTGCAATCTACACATTTTTGCTATTTGATTTGGATTTGGATAATGCATACATAGAAATACCGATTATAAAGGACAAACCCCCTTTAAAACTCTTCTCAGGGATTCAACACGTGACAGCCACATTTATAACTCAAAGGCATGATAACCATTGCAATGCAATGCAATAAATAGCGGAGATACAAGAGGACATAAAACACTCTGTGATTATAGCTTTCATTTCCTTAACTTTGTTAAGAAGTTATACAGTACTTTGCCTGGCAACTACTACACAATAAAACACTTTTACTCTTCAAAAAAAAAAAACCTGAATGCAACATAGCAACCCTGCTAATTCTTCAGTCTCAATATGTCTGTGGCACAGCACAGCAGACATGTCTGGGCAAGTACTGTTGTCCAGATTGCAAACTCTAGTAGTATTTGCTGCTTTCCAATTTATTCTGCACGGGACGAGGGTTAAAATAAAACACAAATATTTAAAGAGGGGCAAAGTTTTACTTCTGTGTTAACATTAAAAAAAAAAAAGCAGTGCAATCCAGATAAGCTTATTACAGATCTACTAACTGCCATTTAAACCAGGGTGACATCATCCCTGGGCTGTCTCATCTTTACTCCCAGGCCAAAGGTCAACACTAAAGACAACTTTGGCACTGTTTAGTTAACTAAGTGACCCATGGGAATGAAAATAAAGTACACATGACTGTCACTAATTGGACACAAAACACCTCTCTAGTCCAATGCATGTTATCTTCACACAAATATAAAAAAAGAAAAAGGGATTTAACCTTTTGAGTACCAGTGTGCTATACAATAAAGCTTTAGGCACTTAGGACCTTCCAAAGCCCTATGTCTGTTTAGATAGGAATACAAATAGTAACAGGCGGTGTTACACAGGCCCACCAGGAACTGAGAATGCATGGGATGAACTCAATAAAAAATAAAAATAAAAAAAAACATGGATGCCTAAAATATTCTTGGCACACCAGTTTAAAATACCCTTCAAATTATAAGGCGCTCAGTCATTTTAGTGACCTGAAAATAGAAAATGCACGTTAAAAAAGCCTAGCTGTGACTGTAACAGTGCTTTCCATATTAAAGGTTGATTTGTTTGTAGGGATTCATTAGAATATGCAATTGTCTCATTTGAGATTTGTCTTTAAAGGACCATTCTAGGCACCATAACAACTTAATTAAAATGAAATGTTATGGTGCAAGAGGTACCAGGTGCTGTCTTACCTGAAGACATTAAACTGTTAATGAATGGTTTAACCCCAAAATCTAAATAGTGGAACCCAATCGCATTGTCCCTCCACTTGTTCTGAAGGTCCAAGGCATCCTTGCACTGAATGCCTATCACAATGGGAAGCTTAACACTAGCTCCCCATTCAGAAAATAGAGTAAAAAAGATACCTACCTTTTTCCATTACTTTTGTGAATGGGAGCTAGTTTTAGCCTTAGAGCTGTCAGTCTATCAATGTTGCCCAGTCTGAGGCTTCATGATTAAAGCCGCAGATCTTCAGAGGAAGTGAAGGGTACCGTGATCGGGCACCAACATGCAGAACTTAAGGTTAAACCGTTCGCAAGCAGTTAACCAGAGGCTTCCAAATTGAAGTTTTAGACCTTCAAGGGTAACATGGTGCATATAAACTTCTTATTGCGATGAAGTTGTTATGGTGCCCTTTAAACTGTAAGCAGCAAAATGAATTGTTAATAAGGGGCTAAGCAAAGATGTTTGCCATGGTGACATTGAACTATGGGGAAGTGCTGATATTTTTAAAGGGATACTATAGTGCCAGGAAAACCAAGCCGCTACAGTGCCCAACATCCCTCATGCCCCCTCACGTGGCGTTGAGGGGTTTAAACTCCTTCAGTCACTTACCTGAATCCAGCGCCAATGTCCTTCAGCGCTGGATGATGCCTGCTCACGCTTGCTGATGTCGGCCGGGGAGACCTAACACACATGTGCTATAAATGCTGCGCTCGCATTAGGATTCCCTATAGGAAAGCATTGTTTCAATGCTTTTCTATGGGGATTAGATTGATGCTGGATGTCCTTATGCACAGCGTGAGGACGTCCAGTGTCATTTATACAACTTTTTAGTCACCTAACCACCAGGAAGTCTACCAGACAGCCACTAGAGGTGGAGTTAACCTTGAGAGGTACATTTTACAGTTTACCATTGCAGGGACATGGGACATTGCACCTAGACTACCTGAATGAGCTAAAGCGGTGTAGGTGCCACTAACGTCCCTTTAAAATATAGGAATATTTTCAAATGAATACTTGTTTTATAGTATTTTCATAATTGAACTTGAAAAATTTTAGTCTACATTCTATATAAGCCATCCTTGATACAAACAAAGGATTGCAAAATTAATATCACCATCTGCTGTATAACGTCTGCTTGAGAACTCTTAATTCTACAGATAAATTTTATGTTATGTAAAATAAAACCAAACAAACAAACAAAAACCCACAAAATACACCTGTCTTTTGCTGCTTAGTTTTCACTATGCTGAAGTGACAAACCATGTGTCATTTTCAAAAAATTATTGATGGTGACATCTATTCTAATTATGTCTAGATGTTTAAATTAGCTATGTCTAAACGGTAAAATATCTGGTTTGGCAGACACGTTTAGTTTCAGACATGCTGATTTAATCAAATACCACAAACATTTCAGGTGAGAGAGACAAACATAATCCTGCATGATTTGCTTGCCATGAAGTAGAAAGCATGAACCTAAATAAATTAGTACATAATGATGATTTCTTACGGAACACTTTTTTGCACGTGGGACAGGTTTTAAACAATAAAAAAAACATACTTTCTTTTTTTTTAAATGAAACAACTATGTTTCCATTTTTTAAGGCAGTATAAATATGATACAGTAATCAATACATTTTATTTTCAAATAAATAAATACTAGCAACTAGTACAGCGACTGATCTTAATTTTGGTTGTCTAGCTCAGCTTCTACAAACAGCATTATCAAATGTAGAAAGCATGAGCCTAAATAAATGAGTACATGATGAAATAAAAGGCTATAGTGCCATCTGGTGCTTGAACAGAGTATGGCTATTTTAATGAAGGTGCCAGTGATTATTATTTTATTGTTTATATAGCTCCAGCAAATTCCATAGCGCTGTACAAGGGCATAAAAGTAATATATATTTATGGAGCATATTTCACACATAAAAAGACAAATAGTTATAGGGTTTTATACAGTGTAGAGCCACATACCAATATAACACCAAGAATTATACAGAATACTTATATATTCAAAAGTCATTATGCAAGAAAACATGAACCATATTGATGGTTTACATATGTAAATTTGACATTCAAAACGTTCTCCACTTACTGAGATCTTCTGCTAGTTGGACCCTCTTCCCGGTTAACAAGGTGACCTTTTTCTCGCTGTCTTCTGCAAAGTCTTCCAATACTTCCTTCACATTCTTCTCTAAGCGTCTTACTGCATAAGACATGGAAGAGGTGTATTAGCAGACAATTACAAATTACTGCACCCCTGCCACACAAAGAATTTGGGCTATCAATTGCCATCTATACAAAAGCAACCAATATTACAACAATAATAAGATTACAGGATCTTGGACAAAAACTAAACACAACACATACGCTAATGAGTTTTTTTATAATCCTGTAAAAGATAGAATAAAGATTCCGCTTTTTTTCTTACAAAATATAATGTGTTTATATAATGTGTTAACATTTAAGTTTATGGACAAATACACAATGCAATACCAATACTTGGCATATATAATTACTTCACCATTCTTAACACTGTACCTTCTGTATTCGTTAGCTGCTGCCTTAAGGTGTTAGCAGTGATTCCTAACATCCGTTGTATCCTCCAGAAAAGGACCACATCATTGCACTCCAACTAAAACATGAATAAAAATGCCATTACCTAATATTTTACATACTGGGAGTACTAGTCATTCAGAAAAACGTATATAAAGAGAACCAAGTTAAAATAAAATGCTAGGGATGTTGATGTTTCTGTAGTTTATAGAAAAATTAAAAGGTCACTATAGTTACCAGAAAAACTACAGCTTTCTAGTTGTTCTGGTAAGTATAATAGCTCCCTTCAAGCATTTTCATGTTAACCCCTTAAGGACACAGCTTCAGAAGCTTGACTTACGCTTAATGACACAAGCAATTTTTGCATTTTCTTGCTGTTTGCGTTCAACTGCAATTTGCATCTCTCTCATTTATTGCACCGACACATATTATATACTGTTTTTTAAAGGACAGAAAGGGCTTTAATTTGATATAACATATATATATATATATAAATGCTTACTTATTATAAAAAAAATACAGAAAAATGCAAAAAAAATGAAAAATATTGTTTTTTTTACAGTTTTTGCAATAATAATGTGTGCATAATTAGTGCAGGTTAAGGAAAGTAATTAAAAATAAATTTATTTATTTGTTCTGATTTACAGAATATATAATGTGTCTGGGATTTTAAGTTTTTTTTGGTAGTTACAGGTCACAAAGCACAAGGAGTAAAATAAAATTTTAATGTGGAGCGATTTTAGAATTTGGTATGTTTGTCTTGTAAGCTTAATAGCCATAAAAGAAAACAAAATTGCCACACAAAAGTATATATTTATATAAAGTAGACATCACGGGCTATTTACCTAAGGTTGTTTTGACACTTTCTACGTAGCCATATTACCGCCAACCTCTGCTAAATATTGGAGTAAAATTGTGTTCTTTTTGGTTTTTGGCACACAAACTTATAACAGAGAAATTCTCGTGTATATTTTGTAAAGTTGGTGTGTGCTATTCCTGTACAAAGTTTTATTTTGTGTTCAGTTACATCTGCTGAGTAAAATGACACCCCCATTGTATGTCTTTTGCACTATTTCGTGAAGTTACAGTGCCATACAGGATACCTGTCCTTTTCAGTATTCACAGTAGAATTTTGAGAGATGAATTTAATGAGCCTTAGCTTCCATTTGGGGTATTATAACAGTTTGACTGTTCAAAAAACCCCCACAAAGGCCTACCATTTGTAAAAGTAGACACTCCAGGGTATCTTATAAGGTGCATATTGTGCCTTAACATGCCCCCATTTTTTCACCAATATATGCCAAAGTATGTGGTAAAAAATAATTTTGTGCATTTTTTACATACGGATTGCATTTTTGCTGGGCGTTTTGTATATTTCATATGTGCCACTAAGTTCAAACCCCCCAAATTATGCTCAGCTAAGTCTTCTGAGTAAAATGACACCCCATATGAATGTCTTTGGCACTATTTCGTGAAGCTACAGTGCCATATAGGAGACCTGTCCTTTACAGTATTCACAGTAGAATTTTGAGAGATGGATTTAATGAGCCTTAGCTTCCATTTGGGGTATTATAACAGTTTGACTGTTCAAAAAACCCCCACAAAGGCCTACCATTTGTAAAAGTAGACACTCCAGGGTATCTCATAAGGTGCATATTGTGCCTTAACATACCCCCATTTTTTCACCAATATATGCCAAAGTATGTGGTAAAAAAATTATTTTGTGCATTTTTTACATACGGATTGCATTTTTGCTGGGCGTTTTGTATATTTCATATGTGCCACTAAGTTCAAACCTCCCAAATTATGCTCAGCTAAGTCTTTTGAGTAAAAATACACCCCCAATGAATGTCTTTGTCACTATTTTGTGAAGCTACAGTGCCATATAGGAGACCAAGCCATATCCGTTTTTACCAAACTTTGAATTTTGACGCTGGGCCTATATGCAATTTCCAAGCATCTTCGCAGGTTTTAAATTCAATCTACCCCACAAAGGCCTACCATTTCTTAAAGTAGACACCCCAGGGTGTTTCAAAAGGTATAGTTTGAACCTTAGCGTGGGATCATTTTTCCGCTAGCTTGTACCAGATGTAGTGGTAATAAGCGTTTTTTCTGCCTTTTTGACATACAAAGTGAGTTTGCACAGTATATTTTGCAAACCTTATGTGTGCTACGACTGTATAATACTTCATATGTTGCTCAGCTATGTCGGCTGAGTACAGCAATACCCCCGTATGTACCTTTGCCAGGTATGTGTGGACATCGGAGGGGCACATTTGGGACACAGCCATTCCAGTTTTTTTCAAACTTTGAATTTTTATGCTGTGCCTATGTCCCATTTTAGAGTATTTTACCAGGCTATATAATCCAAATTCCCCATAAAGCCATACCATTTCTTAAAGAAGACATCCCAGGGTATTTAAAAAGGCATATTTTGAACCTTAGTGTGGGATCATTTTTCCGCTAGCTTGTACCAAGTGTAGTGGTAATAAGCATTTTTTCTGCCTTTTTGACATACAAAGTGAGTTTGCGCAGCATATTTTGCAAACCTTATGTGTACTATGACTGTATAATACTTCATATGTTGCTCAGCTATGTCGGCTGAGTACAGCAATACCCCCGTATGTACCTTTGCCAGGTATATGTGGATGTTGAAGGGGCGCATTTGAGACGCAGCCATTCAGTTTTTTTCTAACTTTGAAGTTTTACGCTGTGTCCATGTTCCAATTTGGAGTAGTTTAGACGGTTGGTTATTGAAACTTCCCCACAAACACATACTATTTATTAAAGAATACACCCTGGGGTAATTCAAAAGGCATATTTTGAACCTTGGCGTGGGATAATTTTTTCTCTAGTTTGTTCCAGGTGTAGTGGTAATGAGCGTTTTTAAAATGTATTTTTTTACTTTTTATAACTTTTTACTTTTAAAAACTAGTTTTTAAACTTTTGTTTTGCTTATAAATTTTTTTTAAACTTTCCTAAACTTTCTTAAAACTTTTTTACAGATTTAACATTTTTCTAAGCTATTTTTTTTACTGTTAACCCCTAACTAGCAGTACGCAGCACTAACAGTAAATTCCCCATTTTCCCATAACTCCCACCCACCCCAGCTAGCAAAATATATAGTTATAAAATATTTAAATTAATTAATTAAATAAATTGAACCCCTGAGGGTTAAAAAATAAATAAAAAGTTAATCCTCAGGGGTTAAAAAAAAAATTAGATCACAGTATAATACTGTGATCTCTATTTGATCGCTGTAGGCAGTGATCGACTGGCAGGGAAGGGGTTAATTTTTATTTGGACTAGGTAAAGTGTGTTTTTTTGTTTTTATTACTTAAATGTTATTAAAACATTTTTTTAAGCTTAATTTTTAACTTTTTAAAGTTTCTTTTAAAACTTTTTTTTAACGTTAACCCCTAGTTAGCCTAACGTCAAATCCCCCAATTCCCCACTAACTTCCACCTACCCCAGCTATCTAAATATATAATTTAAAAATAATTTAATTAATTAATTAATTAATTTAACCCCTGAGGGTTAAAAAAAAAAGAATTAACCCTCAGGGGTTAAAAAAAAAAATCAGATCATAGTAAAATGTAATCCCTGCCAATTGATCACTGTAGTCAGTGATCAATTGGCAGGGAAGGGGTTAATTTTTTATTAAAACTTTAAATAAACTTTATTTTTTTTTACAGCAGGGGGCAGGATCAGCACTGATCCGGCTCCCTGCACTTCACACAGAACCCGGAAGTGCAGGGAGCCGGTAGGTAAGTATTCAGAGCACATGTGCTCGCTCCGACTTGTGGTCAGAGCGAGCACATGTGCTGGGCAGCTTGACCGGGTGCTCCCGGTATGCCTCCAATGCAGAGGCATACCGGGAGCACCATTAACCCCGCGATCGCCGCGATAGCGGCGATCCGGGGTTAATTTTACCGCGTGACGGACGAGGTCCGTCACCCGTCGTTAAGGGTCTCCCCTGTGTGACGGACCTCGTCCGTCACCCGTCCTGAAGGGGTTAACACTGCCTTTTCGACGAAAAGGCAGTGTTTACATTGCCCCTAAGGACACCTCCAAGTGGCAACTCCTTAAATGGCTACTGGAGGGGCTTCCTGGCTCAGGGCTGCACAGTAAGCAGCCCTGCCGTTCAGCATCCCCACGCTCTGCATGTAGAAGCTGAATTTTTCTCATAACGATGCATTGACTCAATGGCTAAAATGGATTGGCTAAAAACTGCCCATTTCGATGATGTCACAAAGGGGGCAGAGCCAGGGCCGGCGAACCCGCACTGCGCTGGAAATAAGGTGAGTTTTATACTTTTATAGTGGGGCTAAAGGGGGGCAAGCCACCTAAATGGTGGGTTAAACACCATAGGGTCAGAAATACATGTTTGTGTTCCTGACCCTATAGTGATCCTGTAAGCTATTTTGAACTTGCAGTATCATATTTACTGATAGGTGAAACCATTTCCAACTGCATTTCAGATGCTCTGGCACCACCTAATGGTCAATACTCAAAATTACATCATACTTTGGAACATCATTTGATCACTAAGCATAATAACAATGTTAGGAACACATGCAATACTTTCCAAATGCTCTCCTGGCTTGTTATTGAATTTAGCGGTTACAAAACCTGCACACATTGTTTCTAGAACAATATTATACAGACGTCTGAACAATATTTTAACCCCTTAAGGACCAAACTTCTGGAATAAAAGGGAATCATGACATGTCACACGTCATGTGTCCTCAAGGGGTTAAATAAGCTTTTTTCTTTTTCTACAAGTATATAGAACACTCTTGTCAGGTGTTTTGACTAAGACCAATCAATGTTGATATTAATAGCCTGTAAGGTTGCTTGTTTTTTAAAGCAGAACTAAATGTTACCAGATACTACCCTGCTGCTGTGAATTAGCACAGCCTTTAATTACGTGGAAGAAAAGATTTAACACCTAGTGTGCCAGCTGTCATAATCTAATGTTAAATGTGTTTTTTTTAGTTTTAATACATACATGTGGATGTCAACAAAAGATCCCTTACATAAAACAAAATTATTACTAAACAAATTCTTACTCTGACAGCAGAACATGGTGGAGCATTTGTTAAATAATGCCAATCACTAAACAATGTATTCCAGGTACAAATGTTTAACAGTGTACCCAAAACTATATTTTCCAAGATCAAAGAAGAATATGGGGACCTTATCAGAGGTGGATGTATAAGGCCCCACATTTTCCAAATTATGTGAATGAGGAAATGGGACAGACATATGGACCAATAACATTGCAACAGACTTATTTTATACCACACAGAGTTATGGATTGCAAGTTTAATACAATGGGTCTCCTAAAATCTTTTGCCCGCAGCCTTTAATTCTTAAAGCCACACTTCGGTTCACACTCTTACCTCAGAGTCTACAAAATGCCTTTGATAGTAATAAAATCCTCGCCTGCAAAGATTACAGTGGCTGAGAGCGTTTTTTAAGAAATGTCTTCTGTAAACTTGATGCCATGTATCTTTTATCTACAAAAAGAGAAAACAATGAAAAGAGAAAAAAGATATGCAGTGTAAAGCCAACATAAATATATGCTTACATTCAGCATGTACAAAAAAAAGGGAACAGCGCAAAAATAAACCAATACTATAAATAGGGAAAGTAGGAGGCAGTAAACCTAAAAATAGGGTTCCCTCTAGGCCAGGGGTCCTCAAACTGTGGCCCTCCAGATGTTGCTGAACTACAACTCCCATGATTCTTTGAATTACATAGATAACCAGAGAATCGTGGGAGTTGTAGTTCAGCAACATCTGGAAGGCCACAGTTTGAGGACCCCTGCTATAGGCCCTGTACACAAAGATAATACACAAGACAAGACAAAAGAAGGTTCTTTTGTCTTGTCTTGTGTATTATATTCAGCATGGTTTATACTGCAAAAATAAACAAATGCATGTCCACAGATCATAGTCTAACGTTAAATAGGCTGTATAACTACTAATCATTGTAAAGAGCACGAGGTAAGTGCAACTATATATTATATATATATATATATACACACACACATAAAAACATCTCTGGTGTAATTCACATAATTTCCCATACTATTATTTTATACCAATAATTTTAGAAGATGCTTCTTTTCTCAATTTCAGAATCAATCTAATACAATTTACACTGGAAACTTTCATGGTTTCCTCATACTTTGCAGTCTAAATTCAGGAAAATACTTCCCACAACCAGGGCAATGTTAAAGACTTGGGTTATACGGTTTGGGCAGATAAAGGGAATGCCAGTGTCCATTTTAAAATGTAATATTCCTGGGATTGATGTTGATTTCTGGGGGCCACTCTCTCTACATAATCTGGACTATATTTTTTCTCAAATAATACATTTTTTCTCAAATAATTAATTATCATTTGACAAATTTATATTAAAACATTTAGAAGGTTCAGATGTCACTAAATATGAGATTGTAGCTACCAGATTAAGCAAGATATTTGAAGTCCCAATACTAGACCAAACGTATACTCCTTTAGAGATGTAGTGTAGTGTATTTCATAATGCATTTATCAATTTTACAATGGATGGATAATTTTTACCCTATTTCTTTTTGTTTGTTTTATTTATATGTATTCTTATTCTTTATTTGTTTTACAATAATTATATTCTTAAAAATGAAAACCTTTCAATAAAAACTATTTGACACATTTTTTTACAATGGAAGAAGAAGAGAAAAATGTCCTGGGATAAATTTAATTTACCAGATCAGATCCACTTCCACTCCCTGAGATTCTAGATTGTTTCTAGCCATGGCTGACTTTATCATTAGCAGTATTTTATATTAAACAACAAATTATTACTGTTTTAACACTTTCCCTTTTTTTGCATATAAAGTATGATTTACCAAAACGGGATCAACTTCCACTCCCCGGGATTCTAGATTCTTTCTGACTGTGGTGACTTCATCATTAGCAAGATATGCCGGATGATCGTCGTTAACTTTCATCATCCTGTCAAGTTCTTTTTTAGTTTCATTGCGAACATTCTTCAGTAGAGTGGATTTGGAAAGCAATGCAAATTTTCATATAATCATAAAAGAAAGAAAGAAAAAAAATCAGATAATTTCTATACATGTAAAAAATACCAAAATAAATGGTAACTCATACATGCATTTACCTGTTCTGCAGTACGAGAAGTCCATGAAAACCACCTCTCTTTCCAGTCTGGACCCACCATGTCGCGTATAACAGATTCAGCTGAAAAAGTAAACCCAGGTTAGGGACACAAGGTATAAAAATTATGGTCTATTACTTTCAGCTTATTTTAAAGTGATTGATATTCTATATGAGATTTGGTGCCACTTTATAGAGAAAAACAATTCATGCAAACTGTGTTAGTTAAATTGCCAGGACAGGCATCAATTAAAATGTATTACTAAATGGGATACTCTTATTATTATGATCATTAACATGTTCTGCAGCGCATTACAATAAAACACTGGGAATATAAAACTAGTGTTGACATGCAATGTAATGCTGACAGAGACAGGTGAAAAAGGCCCTGCTTATATTAGTTCACACTCTAAGGATCAAATTGAAGGGATGTTGTAGCTTACTGTACTGGTCTTAGTGGCCAGATGCTGTCCCTGATGTCTGACAAATATAAGCATTGCTGTTTCAGAGACCCATCAATGTTTACATTTGTAACAGGAACAGGGGGACTGATATTAGGCTTGAGGACCAGTCCTGAACCTAAAAACAGCATTTAACCCTTTTCCCAGTCGGAAAGGGCTCTATGTGGCAACCTCTAGGACTTCTACTGCCTGCTCCTTTCTTCTCCCACGACTCTCTCTTTTGAATCTCTACTTTTTATAAAAACCCAAACCGATTTAAGTGGCTCATCGGCAGTAAGAGGTCTATTTCACTCTGTGTCACAAATATGTGTCAACATATGATATTCAAGATTCTTCTACTGAAAAATATGAAATGATAACAAGTAGAATTATTCAATGGCATAACTATCCAAAACATGTGATTTATAAAACAACAACATAACAGTAACACCACCAGTTTTACTAAGCACATATATTCCACTTCAGTTCTAAAAACTTTAATTTCATACTTGTTTCAAATTAATACACTTACTGTCTTTTAAGCGGCTCTGCAGTGTATCCTCCATAAAATGGATGGCTGCGTCCCACTGTTGTTTGTCTCCAATGGAGCGGTCCTCTAAAGCATTGTGCTGAATGACTCTCTGTACAAATAAATGGCAATACATATTCAGACTAAAAATCATAAGAAATTCATACACAGGATAGTAAAGATACAGCTTCCGCTATTGTTGCTAGCGGTAAATATCTGAAACATTAGGTAGTTATAAAAAAAAAAAATCAACATATTATTACAGTGTATGATACAAAAACCATGGTGTTTATTCACAACACATGCAAATTTAAATCCCAAAAGCAAAATCTAGGTTAAAATAGCCAAGCTTTGACTAGAAAAGAGCTAACAAATTATTCAAAAATGCAAGATTTCTGCTTAGTGTTTTCAAAATGCCATTCAGATTCTAATTCACTACATTTCAAAGTAAAGGTATCCACATTCACAAACATTATATTTGAGATGAAATACCAGACTGTCTTCTGCTTGTTCATTCCACTTGTGCCTCTTGATGCCCTCATCTTTTACGGCCTCTTTAAGTTTGTCAAATATGTCATCATGTGCTTTCCCTTTTTCCTCGGTCATGAAACGTGAAAATTCTTCCTGAAGAGTATCCCAAGCCACCTAAATTGGAAGAAACAAATGTAAAAATTGCAGGTAACTTGTTGGTCCCAGAAACAAATGTACGTCTATGTACAAATTGCTTCATAAAACAAGGTAGAAGAGGATTATTATACACAAATTAAATGTTTAATCCATTCCTCAGAATCTCACTTTAATTAATAAGCACAATAATTAAGAACCAGTGGGAGCCGTTGTAAAGAGCACTTCAGTAGAGCCAAGACCTTTACCTTTATTCCAGTGTAGGACAATCTCCTCACTGCATAGATTTCGGTGAAATCATCAAGACTGATAACTTTGTCCAATCAGATGCTTCTCATAAAGGAGAATTGAGCACACACAGCACATTTTCATATTATAGCTGCCAATACAACACCATTGCTTCTCATAGTTTTTTTAAGTGATGTGAAGTGGACAAGCAGAAATTTCTCGTGGCTTATCAGAACTTAAAGTAAATTTTAGCATAACTTAATGAAGCAATACTTAAATGGTTACTTCATCCACTATAACCAACATAGTGATTTGCAGTGGTTATGGTGTTAGGAGTCTGTATGTGCAGAGTTTCTGCTTGAAACACTGCACATACAGAGTTTTTTAAAATGTGTGCAGTGGTCAAGTTGAACCCCCAACATGTGTAACTTCTTAAAGGACCACTATAGTGCAGGAAAACACTTTTTTTACTGGCACTATAGTGCCCTGAGGGTGCCCCCACCTTCAGGGTCCCCCTCCCGCCGGGCTGGATGGCGAGGAAAGGGGTTAAACCTACCTTTATTCCAGTGCTGGACCTCCTCCTCTTCTCCGCCTCCGATCCTCCTCTTTGGCTGAATGCGCATGCGTGGCAGGAGCTGCGTGCGCATTCAGCCAGTCTCATAGGAAAGCATTCATAATGCTTTCCTATGGACGCTGCCGTCTTCTCACTGTGATTTTCACAGCGAGAAGCACGCAAACGCCTCTGGCGGCTGTCAATGAGGCTGGGTTAAGCCTATTATAAACATAGCATTTCTCTGAAACTGCTATGTTTATAAAAAAAAAAAAAAAAGGGTTAATCCTAGCTGGACTTGGCACCCAGACCACTTCATTAAGCAGGCAAAGTAACTGCAATATGAACATAGTTTTTCTCTCCCTCCCAATGTGTCCTCCCCTCTGCTAACTGAATAGCCCTTTTAAAAAAAAATAAAAACTCTCTCTCCCTACTCTCCCTGGTTCAGATGGTGTGCCTGCACACTAAGCCTGCAAAACAGTCCAATCACTTGCTTCTCTATGAAAAGCCTGTGATTGAAACATGTTTGGTCCTGTGACATAAGGAGGTTCAGTGAATGTCTACTCCAGGAAATTCGCCTAGTGCTGGATTCAAGGTAAGTTGCAAACTTTTTTTTTTCAGATTTTGATGAAAATGGAGCAGATTGGGGAGCAAATTCATAGTGCCCAATGGGGCACATTACACCGAAAAGGTCCCCCCTTCCCCCAAAGGGTTGGAGTAAATCTATACAAATGTCTTGTTCTACAGTTTATTTTCAGTTATTGAAAATTGGAATAAGTAAAACTGTTTAACAATATATAGCTGTAAGTAATTTTGCTAGTATAATACCCTAAGGGAACCACTGACATTTATATAGAGAAGTACAAACCTCTACTGCTTTATGAGGCAATTGCTTGTCGGTCCATTGTTTCAACTTGATGTCTACTGTGGTGTTGAAAGTGCCTGAGTTCATTGTCTGGGCTGCTGGGAGATAGATGTTCTCTATCACATGCGTTGAGACTCGTTCCCACAAAGTCTTTTGGAGAATTTCCTCCCTAACATAAATTGACGAATAGGTAAAGGTGTATGCAAAATATTAAAAAATTCCCTGGCATGGCAAATGTTTATGCAAGTATCAGCAGAAAGAAATATGATAACATCTGTAGCAAAAAGCATCGCCAAAGGACTATACAATAGTAAAAGGGACCCTCCAAGCTGTAATAGCACACATTTCAATGCATTCTAAAAATGATTAAAAACATACAAGCACAATGCCACTGATCTAATGCAATTTCAATCACCTTCAGCTTTTTAAGACAAAACTGCAGATGCCAGAAAGACCTCTCACCCAATTACGCTTTCTCCTTTGTTTTCAATATGCAGGAGGGGTTTAAGGGATACATACATCAGCCGTGATAAGAAGTATAAGCAGATACTACTGAACAAATCAGGCGTGAAATGTACAGATCAACACAGCATCACACATACTTGTGCAGTGGCCTGTTGGTTACAGCTCACACATGAAAAAATACGAATGAAAATCATGAATGATAGCTGATGGGACTTATGTTTATCCAAGCAAGTGTTCTACAAAATCCAACAAACAGAAGCTATAAGAGAGGTAAACTTTAGGAAATATTTTTGAGCTTGTCAAAGGAAATACATACTATTGTATGTTCTACCGTGTAAGAGGTGTTTGGAGTTTCTGAGACTGACATCATGGAATTTATTTATATATATATATATATAATGCAAGAAATTATCTTATAAAGCACCAAGCAAAAAAATAAATAAAAGATAAACTAAAAATATCTATATATATATATAGATATATATAATATATCTATATATATATATAGATAGATATTTTTATTTTTTTTTGCTTGGTGCTTTATAAGATAATTTCTTGCATCATATATATATATATATATATATATATATATATATAATATTATGTAAATGTATGCCTGCTGGCTAATTCTGATTCACATGCAAATCTTGTTCAAGTGTGGTTGATTTTTACACAATGTTATAATAAGAATATATATCATTTTGTGTTCAATGTGGGACAAAAACTTAAGTAAATAGCTTTTTTTGTTATTGTATGCAATACATGATGACACTCCAGTCACCTAAGATCAGTTAATCAACATCACTGCTATGTAGTCTTTCATCTCTATCCTTTATACTAGTTTAGGTATTTTAAGTGCAGGTATACAGTATAAGGATCTAACTTTGTATAACTCTTATGGTTATGTTACCAATGTTATGAATTTTGATGTACAATAATATTCATGTTTTTGAAACTTTTTTAATGTAAAAAAATGTACAGTACAATACTAATACTAAATTACTCATCTGTTTTATGTGTGCTTGAGATGTGATAATTTAGGATTAAGTCAGCTACAGGAAAAATACATACATACATAAAACCACCACAAAAAAAGGTAATTAGCAGATATTTGGATACTTCTGCCATACCTCAAGGACAGCAATGCAATATCAATGATAGCAAGTGATGAACTTTTTTACTCCATGAAACATATATTACCAGTGTTTTGGTGTAACTTGAGAAAGACTTATCACTTCGTCAAGGATCTCATTCTTTGCTTTTTCAAACAGCTCATTCTAATATAAGAAAGACACAAGAAAGGAATTTAATTCACTATCGACATGTGCAAACAAACAACTACACTAAATAACATTATCAGGTTTTCAACATCCTATGCCCAAAGAAAATAAAAGGGGGATACTACAGCATATAGTGGTTATGGTGCCAGGAGTGCTCTACCCCCTGCAATGTAAGCAATGAAAACAGTTTGCCTACGGTTTGACTTCATACCTGGAGTATGCTGGGTGCTGATCACTGCCTCTATGGAAAGGTGGAAGCTCTGGCACTGAGCTTCCGTTAGTTCTTTTCAGCAAAACCATACTGTGCAAGGACAGCTCTCAGAAAATGCCCTGCCCCTACGGCTCTCATAGAGGCAGTGACAAAAAAAAGGTAAAAAGCCATCTACAAATAATTTGACTACTCACACAAAGTCAAAGGACCCTAAGGCACCATAACCACTATAGAGCACCTAATTCAGCAATGTATTATTAAATGTATTTCAGTTTGAAGCAGCTATTAGCTATCCTAATATTTCTATTGGCCATTATCGAGAGCTTTCTACAACAAACAGTTGACACAAAACTATTTTAGGAGACTGTGCAATTTATAGAATACATTGTTTTGTTGGAAGAAAGAAATCAATACAGTGTATATAATCTCCTTTTGAGAAATCTAGGTCTAGGTTGAATAATGACATCTCCTTGTGAACAGGATATCATATATCATAGCCAAAAGCAAAAATGAATAAAGCAAGCCAGTTGAAATAGGAATCAATTGATAAGGCTGTAACCCTTCTGCAGCATAGAATTTTAAAATTGACATGATTGTTTTGCTAGCACTAACCATTTTAATTATATTAGATCCAAGCATCATAATCACTCTGGCTTGTTACTGAGGTAAGCGGTCATACTGGTTGCAGCATGTTGTAGAGCTTTTGTTAGCTCCACTGTACTAAGCGCTGCAATGCAAGGCTGGTCATTGGCTGAAAGCATCATATGAACATTCTGCACCAATGAGCTAAGCCCTCCACTGCTGGGGTCATCTCAGGGCCCTTGATTTCAGCAGCAGAGGAAAACATGCCCTTCTGGGAAAAGTAGTCAGACTGATTGCAAACAGTTGACAACTTACCTAGGGTCTGCTGGGTATCAGTCCAAGCCTCTTTTGGAACTGGACTTCTGCTAGGACCTTTATTTAGCACCACTGAGTCCTGCTGTGTAGGGCCGGTTTATAGATTGAGAGCATCAGCTGAGCAATTTTAACAATAGACCCAAGACCTGCACTTCCTAACTTAACTCAGTGCTACTGCTTCCTGCAGCAGAGGAAGTGACTGGCTGACCCCAGGTATTTTGTCAAACAGTTTGAATACTTAACTTTGGAGAGAGCTGTGACACTACTGGCCCCATAAACAATACAGTGGCCTGGTATCTGCATGTTCCTTTAATAGCGTGAGTGTTCCTATAATAGCATGGAATTAGTCCTACTCATTCCATGAGGGGAAAGATTAAACACCAGAATCAAGGCAGTTCTAGATTTTGTAATGGATAGCTCTGAACATTTTCGGTTCTATAAAAAGCTAACTCTTTCATAACAAATGATTAGGCAAGCATCGCTCCTGACTTTTCTTGCAAATCAACTGTAATGAAGGGGGTATGAATTATGATTTCCTGTACATGCAGCTTGCATTTGGTTTTACCCAATGTGAATAATGCTTTATATGTCATTACCCTGTCTAGCTCACGTAGTCTGGGGTAGTTATTCTTCCACTCCGTCTCAAGGTTGAAACGAGTTGCTTTAGAAAAAGAAAAGATGTAGAACTTAACCGATACCAGCAACATATCACAGAAATACCAAATTGAGCTTTTAAAACAAACAAATACCGTTTATCATGAACCTGCAACCTTCATTACACAGATTAATTCTGATATAGAAGTGGCAAGTTCATGCTTATGATATGAACTAGTTTATAATGCCAAAGAAATAAAATAAATAAAATTATTGGCATTTTTATACAGCCAAAATTTTTTACATGTTTTACAAGTATACAGTTATGTAATATTATTAATAAAGTAATTGACAGACAAAAGAAGAACGCCATATTCAAACACTATTTTTTATCTCTTATTGCTCATAATTCCATTAACATCATAATGCTAAAAGTATCTGAATAACTGCTGTGTAATGTCATATTCAGCACACACTGAACAATTTGTTGATGTTATATTTAAACATTTACTGTTATTTATATGTTAAATATAAAATCTTTTTTTGCTGTGACTTACGTACATTTGTTTGTGCGCACTGCTTTTGAATTGTTTAACCACAAACCATGGCAATCTAGGAAAGGGGTCATTTTCTAGCATTTCACTTGTGTTACACAGCAAACTTCTGCATTTATGCTCAGTACTGGCACTGTTACTATAAAATCAGTAATATTATAATCTTCTAATTTCTAAACATTAGAAAATCTGAGTGTTTCCCAATGACTTTACCTTTGAAAGCATCAGCCTGTTGTTCAACAGACTCTCGAACCATTTTCCAAAAGCAATCAGAAACCGCAAGACTTAAATTCTTGGTGGTCACTTGATGTGCTTTGAGCATTCCTTTTCTGGAGAGGATGAAAAAGGAAATCAGTGACATTTCAGATTTTACAAATTGTATTTCCATACATAGGAACGTTTAAATCAAAACAGGATTTAAACAAAACACCCTTTTGTTACACATGACTGCAACCACATTGGATTTGCCATTTAAAACAAATGCATCTTGTGCTGCTGGTGACACCACAGGTACTCTGTAATGGACAGCAGAACATTTGATTCATTTTATTTCCACTATGTAGCACATTCTGTGTACACATACTTCCAAAAATAACTTGTCAAAATTAACACCATAATAGCATAAATAACTGCCAACACTGCAATATCATTTAAATATTAGATGCAGATTAATGTTTGGGTTTTTTTAAGTTAAGATTTATGATTGATTCACAAAGACAAAAACAAATCAGGAGAAAAAAACCCACGCAGGGGAGGCAAAAATAATTCCCGAAATATGTAAAAATGCCAGAAATATGCAGCCTATTATTGATTGGAAGATACTTACTTTAAAAGTGTGGATGCTTGAAAGAACTCCTCTTCGTAATCTTTAATTGATTCAATGCTTTCATTGCTGTTGCCTATTAAAAAAAACAAAAACAAAAAAACACCTATATGTTTGTACCATGTCTCCTGACATAGATTCTGCCTTGCTTTTTTTTAGTGTATAGATATTTTTCCCACAGCCTTTTATGGGATGAAGCATTAAAGGGGATCCAAGCTTGCATAAACTGATGAAAATGTTTTTTTAATTCCCAATAATTTCACCTATTTGTTGTCAACACAATCAACATTAAGCAAATGTACAGTAAGGAAATTGTTCAATATTTTCATATGATTTCTGTTTACAGCCCTCTGTAGTGTTATGATGCCTGGAATACCCTGGCACCATTCCCTAATAATGGGGCAAATCATTTTGTAAAGATTTACACTCTTTTCTGGATCCTGCTGGGCACCAAAGTTCCTTTCCTGCTGGTAGGTGATGTGCATCCAGATTCTGCAAAGATGCAGAGGCCATATGTGGATCCCATTGGCCATTCAATGGCGGAGAGCATCGGCTGATGAATGACCCTTTGTGCATAGAATATGCACAGAATTGAGATTATATTAAAGAAATACCCGCACTCCTATTCTCAAAAAGAAATTAATTTTATTACATGATCATTAATAAAACATAATTCAAATGAAACTATATAGTTTATTGAGAATAGGAGTGCAGGTATTACTTTAATATATACGATTACAATTGTACCACTGAAGGGGGTGGTTTTTATGCCCTTTGTACATTAATTGGTTACCCATACTTTCTTTAATTCTAATGCTTGTTTTCCCAGAATTGAGCTTAACCATGACAACCCAATGACGCTGCTGGAGGTGGAGTTACACCTCTGGCAGCAAAAGGTTAAAACTCTGTGTGTTTTGTCATTTGTAGCCAAGTGTTGCACATACAGACTCCGAGCACCATAACCAGTGCAAGTCACTGAAGTGGCCAGATCAGGTTCATGTGCATTCTTTGTGGCTAGCTGGGCAGCATAAGATCCAGAACCACGAAAGCTATATGAAAATCTGATTTTTAAACTGCTAATCTGTATATTTGCTAGTGATTTGAATAACACAATGAATAGATAAACCAAGAGAAAAATATTGAAACCATGCCTGTACACTTATTTCATATATAATATTTGCAATGTGATTGTTTAAATTATTGAAATTGGGGGGACGGGGGACGGGACCGAGCTTAGCAATCGAGCCGAACGGACGATTGCCGAGAGAGCTCCAACGGTGTCCGTCACAAAAACGGAATGAACCCCAGACCTTGAGCCTGAAATCACCCCAACATGAACTCAATGCAGTGGGGGAGTAAATGGACGACTCTGGGGATACCTTTCTCAACGCTACTGGATACGGGGAGGCAACACCACAATATGCGGCCTAAGGGCATAGGAGCCGGGGAGAGGCGGCCGCTCTCCTCACTCCATGAGCCATGGAGCGGATCCTAACCCTACCCCTCTCCCCCCCAAATCAGTGGGGGTTATCCCGGTCCGCACAGAGGTGCAGACATGCTCATATGCGCCCTGGAGCCGACAGAAACTGTAGAGCTGTCTACTTGAAACCAGCATGACAAGATGGCTGCCGCTGGAAAGCCTGCTGCCATTCCTGCGTCTAGTGTATGGGACACAATGGAGGAACGGATATCCCAGGCCTTTGAGAGACTGTGGGTACAACTCTGGCACAGGATCAAGCGACGTGCAGTGCGATCAGAAGCCACACTAGCAGTTTAACCGGATCTCGCCTACACTGACACCAAGCAGATGCCCACTGGGCACAGTGCTAAAGCAACAATGAAAATGGCGGCGAAGAGGCTGGTACCCCGACGGACACAGCCGGAACTGAGACTTGGTCCTGCTATGTAATGCTACCTTCCCAGGCCGCGGTTCAATAGGGGACACCTCCACAAGCACAACCCAGTCCTTTAGAAGATCACTATTGTCTGCAAGGTAAAACACCTTGGCAAAGGCCCTAGAGACAAAGTCCTGGACGTTCCATGTAGCGAGACTCGTGGGTGTGGCGCTATGGACTGTATTGAAACCTGGGGCTGGCGGGATTCAGTTGTCTGGGACTTGTGACATTGCTACTACATTGGCAGTGCCCACTATATGAGAGGAATTGGCTGGCTGTTATGCTTTGTTTTGTTGTCTCAGGGACAACAGCGCTCCACCTCTTCGTGGACAGTCACCAGTGATGCTTTCCCATGTTTTCCTACACTGTCCCCAGATGATGTTGGCACCCAGTGGCACCACCTGTATTTCTGTTAAAGTGGATTTCTCATAAGGCAGCGCATATCTATCACTACAGCATTTCTTGCACCTACTCTACACATCACTCGATTAGCTTGAGAAAGTATAAAATGTAGTATGCTTAGACGTGTATTGCTTAACCTGTTTGAATACAATATTTTTATGCTACCAACCTATATGTCTAGAAAGTCTCACAACATTGTTATTTTCATTTAGTTGAATCTACCCACTCTAGACGTGTGAACACAGCCGGATTGTATTAATAATGTTCCATTTGCATGTACAATTTAATCCTACCTTTAATGCTACTATTCTGTTTGGCTTGCACAAGGTATACTGTAGGCATGTTAAGCTATGTGTAATCCATGCTAATTACACAAAACATACGCTTAACTAGTGATATGGATAGCAGTAACTTCTTGTTTAAATGCCTAACGTAGAACATATAGACGTACTTAACAATAAAAAAAATGTGCTCTCTCATCGATTACTGATATTATGCTAATGTTATTATACTTTAAAACGTGCCGATTTTTCCTAATGCTCCTACTGCTATGCTTGAAAAGATGCTTGAGGACTGCTATTGGAGCAACCGAGCTTGTATGTTATTATCACCATGCACAACAAAAATTAAAAATTACATTACAAAAACTTTTTTTTTTCAAAATATTGAAATTGCAGGAATCTATACAATCTTTGGTTCTGCACAACTATTTGCAATATGGAAGGCATTATAATGTAAAGGATTTAATGCTTTAAATGACTTTTTTTTTTATGAATTTTTTCACAAAGTGTTTTTCTAGTAACATTATTTTAGGTATTGTACACCTTTAATTGATATTACCTTTCCCTGTAACCACGGCAAAATACCCAAGAGCTTTCATTGGAAACAATTTGCCTTCAATTATCTGCTGAATCTACAAAACAGGAAAAATCATTGTTTTCCACAATATTTGCGAACAATTAAATAGATTATAAATTAGTCAAAGAGTAGCCTTTTGCAAACATACCATATAAACAGTGATAAAGCAAAATAGCCTTAATACATGAAACACAGATAACATATTTGCGCTAAAAAAAAAAAAAAATACAAAATAAAAATGGACTAAATATTAATCCCTGTGATTTTTTTTTTGTTTTCTTCTTTTCTGTTTGTTCAACACTCTGTTTGACTTAAGCAAAACATTTTATACTAACTAAATATTCATGCATATTTATTGTCACTGGAGACTATACTGATATTGTTGGGAACTTTTCTTTTACTATACGTGAAACTCTCAATAAATATTACAATTGGAGAAAAAAAAATCATACTAATAAATGCTATATGCAGCAGTGTGAACAATGTAAACACAAAACATTACAAATGATAATACAAACGAGGACACAAAATACATCCGCCCAGGCCCTAGAAAACTCACCCTGTTTGGACTAGCTACATTTTTCTCTGCAAGGTCAACTTTTGTTAAAACAAAGATGGTTCGTCGCCCCTGTGGGTCCATTTGACTTACAAGGTCTGTTACAATGCTTCGCTCTGCATCCACAGAACCATCTGCAAAAGTGAAAGGTATAGTGAGTCCTGTCCAAATCCAGAACTCTCAAAATATCAACATCTTAAAGTAGTCCCATAAACATTTTATGACATCTGAGAACAAGGTGAAGATGTATTTCTATTCATAGACTAGTTGGGTTCATACTTGTATTAAAATATGTTTAATCAACATAATAATAAATTGGGAACTGACCTCAGTTCCATAGATCTGAACTGATCTGTTATTTTGTCCTAAACAATGCAATTATCAGATCAGTTAGCAAACAAATCAATTTTTTGTGAACAGCCCTCACAAACTTATGTTTTGCTATGGTTACAATAATAAATACTTGCTAAACAGCATCACATCATATTAGTTATCAAATTGGGCAGAAACAATAAGTCACTTCATTTTTTTTATGGGTTACTATAACCACCTTGGCCACTTCAGATTTTTGAAGTGCACATGGTGGAAGGAGCCTGGATGTGCAGTGTTTCAGTTTGAACACTGTACAACCAGAGATATTGGCAATTGTGAGCTTTTGGGCTAATTGCAATCCCAGCACATGTGACACTGGCAGCCCAGAATTGTGTTCAAGACTGCCTAATGTCAATTTTGTGCAGAGCTTGCATGGGGAAGCTCTTGTCTGCCCCTCTTCCTCCCGATCCCCTCTGCTATATTCTTTTACCCACTCCATGGTCCCTCTTCCTCTTTTCCCTCTCTCCCTTTTCCCCTCCCCTTGCGGACTCAGAGCATGAGCATGCACTCTGAGTGTTAATCATTCATTAAAAGTCTTCTCTATGAGAAGCCTTTGGTTGGACATCATGGAGGCTCTCGTAGTGGCAGCGCTGGTAGGTTTGCCCTGTACTGAATTAAGGTAAGTAAAACATTACTTTAAAATGCTCTTTGAGCGTTTTTATTCAGGAGGACATATAGAATAATGCTAATGAGGCATGTGGCGAAAGTATCCTCGCCACAGGCTCCTGGAGAGGCCTGTTGGCCAGCCTCTTGCCAAAAGACTATGGGCCCTTTAAAAATGTATGTGATTTATGTACTTTTGTACTCCAAAAAGAGAGGCTGACCCTTAGCCCTAATTCCCTGGAACATGTGGACGGTTGGTCAAAACTATGACTTCCATGGAAATCCCGAACCAATCTGGGTGATTTTTGGATATATTGGTCTCCCAAATCAGGGCTATCAGGGGATGTGACTTGTGGCCATTTGTTTTAGAGGTACTTTTGGGGTGTTTATGAAAATGTGTGTTTTTGTGTCTGGAGATAATTGAGTTAATACAGTACTTGACTCAATTATCTCCCAGGTACAGAGGAGGGATTGACCTAGTTTTGTATGAGAGTGTCCTGGATCTGAGAGCCAATGTAATTGTGTATATGATTCTACTGTGGTTTACTCTCAGGTCCGGGGGGAGTGCCCCTTGCATGGGGACTTGCATATAAGGCCAGTTGTGGCTACCATTAAACGAGTTCCTGCTTACCCTCAACATAGAGCCTCATCTCATGTGTAGGGAAATGGCTGTATCTACTCTGGGGATTGCTATATCACTATACTCCCCTGGGATTATAATCACTTTCTCTTTTAAGAGCATATTGATACACTCTCTTGGAGGAGAGGTCTACCCACTGGAAACTGGATCCTGGCCTTGGGTCCAGGGTGGGTGGGGGACAGAGAGACCCCAGGCAAGATGTAACGCTGGAAGTGGGGACTACAGTGCTGATGGTGTCTGGTGGAGTGCTTGGTGAGCACTAGGAGCATCGATTGGCGGAGGCACCCGGTCGGGGTGCCAGGCGATCCGTCACAGGGCATTACTCTATTAAATGGACTCTATGGTCACCAGAACTACAGCTTATTGTATTTGTTCTAGTGAGTATAATCATTCCCTTCAGGCTTTTTGCACTCTTTTCAGAGTGTTTGCATTACAGCCTAAGGATAACTCCACTAGCCACTCCACAGATGGCTACTACAGGTTCTTCCTGGGGCAGTGCAAGGTATATAGTCATTAATGGAAAAGTTTATCACTTTTTGGCACTGAATTTCGTCTCAGATCACAATAGTAACTTGGGTTTACTGTCAAGTTCTAATTGCTTACCTTGGATACAGAGAATGATAGCATTTGGATTCTGCATATAAGCCTTACTAATGCTGAAGATTGTTTCTTTGGTATCTGGAGCCATGCCTGATGTTACCGTCTGAGAAAGGAAAAGATAAGACGTAATAATCTTTCTCACATGTACTAAAGCCTATTGCAAACTGAAGCAACTTACACTGATGACTCCCGGCAGATCAACAAGTACCATCCTCTGAATGCCAGGACCCTTCACACTTAAGGAGATAGTCTGAAAACAATTATAAAATATATATAGTGTTAGGTGTTGCAGGAATGCTATAAGTATACATTAGTTGGAGATACATGAATAATTTGCATTTCACAAAGTGTATCGAATGAGATATGCAAGAAAATAAAGATTGATGACAGTTTTCAAAGTAAGTTCCATTATATCAGTCTACTTTCTCATTTGGAATTGTATTATTTCATTTTAAATTGCACTGGTATGTAGATTATGAGAATGTTAATTGAAATTGTGGAGTACCTCAGGGCTAACGGTTTGTCCATTCTTCACACTCTTCCTCATGCGAACCTCTATTTCATCCCTTAAAGCTGCAAGCTGTTAGATACACAAAGAAAATAAAGATTCTAATTGATGGCACAACCTTATCTTAAATCTTAATGAAAACTTAATGACTATAGACAGCAAGAAATTAACATGCAATTTTTGCATGTCTAAATTAATTTATAATGAACAATGGTATTTGCTTCCTATAGAAAGGTAGGTAGCCAAGTCAAACATTGTGCAAGTAAAATAGAAGCTTAAAACACAGCTTGCACCACCTGCAAGCCATTCTGTAAAATTGAAATTGTCCAGAAATGTCAAAGGAATTACGCCAATATATATTAAATGGGGGGAAAAAAATCTCAAACTCAATTTTTTTTCTAGTTTGGCTTTTATGGCCACTTCACATACAAATTACCTTCCTATGGTACAACACCACAAAATATTAAAATGTGCGTAAAAAAAAGGTTATGTGTACGTACATCTGCTTCCTTGGTTAGGTCAAATTCCCGTGAACTGTCTTTAAACACAGCAACATGGTGTGGACCTTCACTTAAAGTTACCTCAAGAAAAAGAAAATAATAATTAGTAGTAGTCAAATGAAAACTAATGGTAATTGCAGACAACAACTCTAGAATAAAGTTCTAAAAGTGGAGCAATCAGAATGGCAATTAAATGAATGCGTGTGCTGATTGCTCCACTTAAAGGAAATGGTCATCAAATTTGAACTTTTTTTTTTTTTAAGTATATTACAATTAAAGAAACTTTAAAAAAAAATAATTTATGTATATTGATTTTTTTGAGAAAATGTCACTTTATATCTAGTGAGCAGCTATGTTGATTGACCATCTGTTGCTCAATCTAACTTGCCTGCTGCTGCGATTGTTCTTTATGAACCTATCTTGGTTAAGCATCAGTTGGGAAGACAACAGTAGAATACAAAAGTTTTAATTTAAAAAAAATAAAAATAAAAAAATAAATTTTTTTTATCCACAACAGAAAAACAACGGTTATGTTTATGAAATGTATTAAAAAAACAAGAAGTGTAAATGTGATTAAAGTTTTCCTTTACAAAATAACTTTTTTTTTTTGTAAATATGTTATTTCGGTTTACAGTGTCGAAAGTAAGTCACATTAAGACTCGCAGGTCTCCGTATGCATTTAGGGTACAGTAACCAAAGCACAACATGTGCATAGCGTTTTTAGGTCGACCATTCGGGCGCACAGGCCCACATTTGCGGTGGACTCGCAGGTCCCTTACAGCATGCAGTTTCAAAATAACTTTTGAAAAGGAACACTATAAGGTCAGGAACACAAACATGATCTCCTGACCCTATTGTGTTAAAACCACCATTTAGGTGGCTTGCTCTTTAGGTGGCTTGCCCTTAAAAGGTAGTAAAACCTACAATTTTTACAGCACTGCGCAAGTCTGCCCTGATCCGCCTCCTTCTTGACATCATCAAAATGAAATTATTTTAGCCAATCCAACGCTTTTCTACAGGGCCTGTGTTCGTGCCTATAATATCCCTTTAATGTGTCAAATGTACCCAAGGACGCCTTCATTTTCAAATATGTCAGGCCTTTAAATCATAATGCCTTTATGTCACAGGCAATTCTTGAAAATGTGAAAAAATATACACAATTATGTGTACATTATTAAGTAGGAATCTACGTACATGTACACTGTACAGTACACATTTACACTCAAAGAACAATGAAAACTCTACACTGCTACACTGATTAAATTGATTTACAAACATATGCAAAATAATCTTTCTTTCATAAAAGAAGGTAATCAATCCCAACAGCTGAACTTTCAGGTTACTTATAAAAGTTGGCTATGCAAGACTGACATTTTACTATATCCCCAATATTCTTTTTTTTTTTGTGAAGTACCTTCACTGGAGAACGAGTCATCATCTCTCCTGATCCACGAGGGAAGATCCTGGCCTGGGCAATCATTTCCAGGACACTTGTTTTTCCTGAACTCTGATCACCAACTACAATCACCTGTAATGATGAAACACTATTAATCCCATTCTGTGCGTTTTAATTGTAATTTTGTCACAGTAGAACATCTTAGTGCAAATCTGCCTGAGAATAGCTCATTGTGAGCCAAATATCAGTTGAATTTGATATTGTTTATTTGAATGCCGCTAATTTTTGTACTTAAACATGTTAAAAAAAAAAAAAAGATAATGCACCCCTTTCCCCTCCCAAAAAATAGAAATCAGTTATTTTAACCTAAATGTTGCAACTTTATGTTTACATTTCATGCTTCCTTGAGACAACAATGTTTTTCAAAATAATGATTGATGAGGCTTAGTCAATTCTAGATATAAGCATGAAATGTGACAGAATCAAACTTAGGACAAAGCTTTAAAAACATTTAACTGTATTTACTTGGGGTAAGACCTATCCTATAATGACTGCATTGCAATGGTTAATATCTTTGAAAACAGCTTGCTGAAGTGTGAAGAGAGTGTTTTCTTTTTTCATTTTACAGAAAGTGCAGATTTCAATAGTAATTCATTTATAAATTAACATTGTTAATTTATAAATGACAAAGACAAACCTGGTACTTCCTGGTTTGGTTAACTTGGTAGAGATAAACCCAATAAACAGATGATTGCTCAGAAGACTTGCCTTGCAAAGAGTTCTCATTGAGCTGCATTGGGAAGTCTGTGATTGGACAGCCACAGAAGGTCTGAGGGCTTGTAAAGGCTGAAGACATGCGATCTGCAACATTTGCAAGCCGTTTTTAGATATATCCCCAATGAAAAAAAAGAAGTATTAAATGCATGCACGTTTTCATTGGGGATATATATACTAAATTGTTTAAAAAATATATATTTTTTTTCCATTGGGGTGTTCCTTTAAAAAAAGTGCTATATTTAAATGAGAACTTTTTTAAAGATAATTTTCCAAGTTTGAACAAGAATCTAAATTCTAATTAAGATGCATATAAATCCTAGAAAATGTAGCATGCTTTCTAAATCAATACTTCCTTAACCCCTTAAGGACACATGACATGTGTGACATGTCATGATTCCCTTTTATTCCAGAAGTTTAGTCCTTAAGGGGTTAAAGGGACATGATAGTCACCCAGACCACTTCATATCAATGAAGTGGTCTGGGTGCAGTGGCCTTGTCATTTTAACCCTTTTAGAGAAACCACAATGTTTAATTTTTTTTGGCAAATGGCTTGACACTGAGGAGGCAGACGTAGTGTTTGTAGTGGTTATGGTTCGGCAGATATAGTGTTTATATCGGTTATGGTTTTTACAAAGCTCCCTTTAATATACTGGCCAGGGAAAGCTCACTGCCTGTGGCCTATACCTCCCATTCACTAATGCTAATATATGGAAGTAGTTGAATAAGGTGTCCAGGTGGTCCTTAAGATCTTGGCCTCACAAATTATTTATGAGTTTAGGGCTACCTAAAAAAATAACACACACCCTCTGAATGAAGGGTAAACAATGGTGAAGAAAAGTAAGCACTAAAACTCAACCAACTGACAGAAAGACCAACTGACATTTATATGTGTATGCCCCAGAGGCTTTCAGTTGGCACTCCTTGGCCTTGAAGGTAATGGGAGGACCTCATTTAATTTTCTTTTGCTAGTAATTAAAGCTGTATCAATAACTACAGGTTTACAATTTTGAAAGCCTATTTTAGCAAATAGAATGATATACAGGTTGATGATTTACTTATTGGGGAAAATAAATATACATTTCTGTTTTAGTGTTGGAACACATTTTCTGTCTAAAAAATACATTACAAAAATGGGTTGATTACGGATATAGTCGAAAATATAAAAAGAATACTCTATACTGTATCAAGCTTTTGATTAATTGATCCATTGGATCCACTGGATTTGAAAGTTTACTTTTCTGTCTAGTGTGTGCAATATAGCAAATTTCTGAATGATATTTGATTGTTCATTGGTTTACTGATGGTATATAAGGATTTGAGCATTTTTCATTGTATAGATGTACAAAATTACACCATGTACCAAAAAGTAACAAGCAAAACTTCAAAATGTTATATAATGCAGTGACCTCTAGTGGAAGCTAAGAATATGGCATCATATTTCGGCCATGCATATTTATTTATTTTAGCAACTTGCCATGAGTTTTCTAAAGGGGAAAAAACTGTCACTTCTTTGGAAATTACACAACTTATAAAATATTAAAGAACCATTGAAGTCACCTAGGCCACTTCATCTCAATGAAATTTCCTGGGTGCAGTGGTAAGATCCATTTAATTCTGCAATGCAAATTTACATTGTAGGGTTAAATCCTCCTCTAGCGGCTGTCATGTTGACAGCACTAGAGATGATTCTGCGACACAGACGCAGAAGCCCTCATAGGAAAGCATTGATTCAATACTTTCCTGTGGGGAGTTTTAAATGTCCGCACAGCACTCACCACGCATGTGTATTAGGTCCCCAATGCTCCTCTATGAGTAGCACTGCATTGGACATCGGCGGAAGAGGCCATGCCACTTCCATAATGTCTCTGAAGGTGGGGGGGAACACAGTATCTCGGCAATAGAAAAAGGTGATTAAAATTTTAATTTAAAAACAAAAAAAAGGTAGCTCACAACAACTAAGGACAGGGACACTCAACCGTTGGGAACACACGTTCCTACAGTTTTAATGTTCCTTTAACAATCTTCTATAAATTGTATTAACCTTTTTTTGTGTTGTGCTCTGTTTTCTTTTAAATATATTTTCAAGATTTAGCAGTCTTTAACAATCCAGTTCAGTCCAGCCAGGGTCAAGGCACACATGCATAGGAGGAATAGAAAAAGATACACTGGGTGAGATTTAACAATGTGTCCTTTCCCGTAAAGTGATGTGAATTGTAAAAGAAGCAGCATCAACAATAGAATGCACTAGGTGATCTCACTGGTTTCCATGGCAATTGCCCCACTTTTAGCACTTTGAACCATTTCTCATACTAAAACAACACATTAAGAAATCTTCCCTTTCTGTTTCACGCCCTCTCTCTATGCTGACTGACAGGTGCAACAGCTGTTTTTATAACAATGACTGGAAAAAAAAGGCCAAGACTGCAGTTTACAGTTCCAGGCTTCTAGGTTAACACACTTGTGTACATTTCTGCATTTAATTACACTTTGCTGCCCATACTGATTTAGATACATACCCTTGGTAAATGGTCCTGAGTGTTGTAGTTTGCATCATAGTCAGACAATATATCCAAAACTTCTGAATACATATCAATCAAGGATTTCTAGAAGATAATATCGGAAAATATCGGATAGTGTTGGTTAAGACTGCATTAAGGTAATTTCAATGCTGCATGCTGTGCTTCTCTCAAGACACACAAAAAGATTACAGTCATTAGTTTTACCATATAATCTTATGAAAAAAATTGCATTATGCATATACAGTGGGACCTTGGTTTACGAATTTAATGCGTTCTCCGGTACGTTTCTTATAGCAAAACATTTGTAAACCGAAACACGGTTTCCCATAGGAATGCATTGAAAACCAATTAATCCGTTCTGGAGGTCAGAAAAAAAGAGCTGGCATGGAAACCAACCCACAATGCAGAACATACAATAAAAGGCATTCAAACGACGAAGCACAGCTCCCTACCTCCACAGCTTGAGAAATGCACCAAAAAGTCCAAAAACAACTGCAAACAATTTCCAGAATGGCTCCAAAACTCGATGCAAAAGCCTCTCCAACACCCCCACACTCAATGCCACGTGCTACCCACAGGCTCCAGCATGCAGGGGGCGGTGCTATAAACCACCCAGGTGCACTGCATCCTTGGGAAACGTTGTTTGTATTGTGAAAAAAAAATTGTAAACCGAGGTATTATTTTCAATGGATTTTCATTTGTAAACTGAAAATTATGTTAACTGAGGCATTTGTAAACCGAGGTCCCACTGTATATATAAACAAAAAATTATGCTATCCAATTATTTTCAATTAATTCCCAAAACATAAAAATTGGTGATAGCGCACAACCACTCCAACAATAATAAAATATTATATAAATTTAAAATATTACCACACTTATGTTACAAAAGAATCCCACTTCTAAAAAGTTAAGCATAAACACATATCATGGTGCAATACATAGCAATATTTATACAATAACACAATGGAAATAAGTGCCACTCACTCGGTGCTGAGCCTAATATAGCAGGGTTAGACTGTCATGGTACCAAAATGTATTTCAGCTAATTAATGTAACTCCTAAATGGCAGAGGATTAAGCAATGAGAAAGCAAGGGCATGATCTATACACCAAAACCACTCCATTAAAATTAAGTTGTTTTGATGCCTATAGTATCCCTTTAAATGGGGGAAAAAAAGATTTAACTATAATCCTACTGGTGAGAATGTCATCACGATTTTATCACATCACCTTCATCTTCCGCTGATGAATTCCCTTGTCATCCTTTTCGAGTACTATTTTCCTCAAATCTTTGTTTTCTTTCTCTAGCCGCTCAAGAATTCGCTGGTATTTTAGCTAAAAATATAAACAATGATTTTTGTCTCACATTCAGTAAAGGCAAATTCTGATATTGCAGATACATGTGAACTATATTCCTTCCCCCTCATTCCCCCCTAGTGCTCTGGCAGACTTTAGTCTCTCTAAAACAGTGTAGACAAACATTAGCACCGTTGAGGTTTTTGAACTAAATTTGAGTGCTTTTAAGGTGAAAAGCATCAACGGAAATGTAGTTCACAAACATCTGTAGTGCCAAAGCCATTAATGTTCTCTAGTCTAGAGTATTAGTGACTATGGAAATATGCATCACGCATATGGGTTATTTACTAAAGGGTGATGTTCTGTGGCAAGAACTCAACTCTTGGGCAAGGCCCTCTTCCTTTTAAATTAGTCTGTGTAAAATGTACAGTGCTGTGGAATATGATTGCTCTTTATAAATGCTAGTACTAATAAATAGCCCAATTGGAAAAACTCTTCAATATGTCTCTGTTTTTAATTCAGTTATTTTGGTCTAAAATCTGAAAATAACTTAGAATTCCTAACAATTCACACTATATTTAAAAGGAGCACTATAGGGTCAGGAACACAAACATATATTCCTGACCCTATAGTGTTAAAACCACCATCTAGCCCCCTAAATATAGTAAAATCTTACTTGTATTGAAGTCTGCAGCTCCTGGCTCTGACCCTGTTTGCCTGTGAACTGCCTCTGTCTGCTGACAATCAGAAGTGGTGGTCTGAGCCAATCCCAATGCTTCCCCATAAGCTTGGTTGAGACTGTCAAGGAGGCAGATCAAGGGCAGAGCCAACACAGCACTGGTCAATCAGCATCTCCTCATAGAGATGAATTGAATCAATGCATCTTTATGAGAAAAGTTCATGCAGAGGGTAGAGACACTGAATGGCAGTACTGCACACTAGGCAGGTTCCCCAGGAAGCACCTCCAGCAGCCATCTATGGAGTGGCCAGTGGAGTTATCACTAGACTGTATTGCAGTGGCGTAGCAAGTAGCAAGGGGTGGTTGGCTCTCCGTCCCAGGTGGCACTTTTTTGGGGGCGGCAAGGTCCCTCCCCCCACCCTCTGAGTGAGACCTGACAGCGATCCTGCTCTGCTTGCCAGGTCTCCTCCGAGCAGTGCAGTGAGTGAGGGGAGAGGCGGGGCAGTAGGATGTGAAGTGAAATCACTTCCAGTGCCTCCTGTCCTGCGGAGTGAAGAGGAAGAGCAGCCTGGCAGAAACATCATGTATGCTCTTCCCTGCACAGCCCCCTCCGACAGCCCCCCTCTCTCCCCTGTACATATCCACCCCCTGCGCAGATCCCCTCTCCCACTGCCTCCCTGACAGTCCCCCTACCTCCCCTGCACAGATCTCCTCTCCCGCTGCCTACCTAACAGTCCCCCTCCCCTGCACAGATCCCCTCCTTGCCTGCACAGCCCACATCCCTGCACAGATCATCTCTCCCACTACCTCCTTGATAGCCCCATCTCCCTCCCCTGTACAGATCCTCAAATAGGCAAACCCCCACCCCCCATAAAATCACTGTTTAGATGATATGCCCCCAATGAATTGCATGCATATCTTTAAAAAAGCTTGTTACGGTTGTAAACTTTGTTGGGTACTTAAAAGAGGTATGTCTGGTGCAGCCACGGACATCTGCGACTGCATTGTACATGATGTGGGTCGAGATAGGGGCGGCAAAAGCTCTAGCTACACTACTGCTGTATTGTAAACATTGCATTTTCTCTGAAAAGACAGTAAAAAGCCTGAAGGGAATGATTGTACCCAGCAGAACAAATACAATAAGCTGTAGTTGTTCTTGTGACTATAGTGTCCCTTAATATATAACCTTTATTAGTGTTGTGTAAAACCTACCACTAGTAATTGTAGCTTTAGAAGGAATAGCTATTGTAGCAATAAATGGCTGAACTGTGAATGATACATACTTGAGTTTTCAGGAGCTCCTCTTGTAGTTGGTCAACCTTTTCTTTGTCAGAGACCTTGAATAGAAAGAGATAATGAACCCTATTTGCCTATCAATGTGTAAAATACTTTATTAATATAATTTATAATCAAAGCCATAATAGGATCCACCAAGAGAATTCCGTTCCCACATGGTCACTGCATGGTGGAATCAGATAAGGCAAGGTTTAGAATGTTCCATGATATCTCCAAACCTATTTTACCCCACCTTCATTTGAAAAATCAACATTAACATATATAATCCGCCTACCACACAATCATTTATCATTTTAAGAGAAGATCTTTGCTTGGTTATAATACCATAATACTGAACTTCACACAGACTTGCCTTTGATTGTAGCATTTCACGTTCTCTCCACTTTACAGTTTATATTATGGACCTCACATTGATAAAAACACAAACTACAAAGCTTTACTCCTAAAATTATATATTTAAGAATATACATTTACTAATCTCACAGCTACTTAAAATATTCTTGACTACCTCATCTAAGTATGCTTTCCCACATATATTGCTGAGGTGTATGGAATGTGGTCCCCATCACAAGCACACACTGCCCACTGTTTGCGAATTCTTTAACTTTCTACAAATGTTCCTCTCAGACATTATTGTATTCCAGTGTACTAATGTGCCTTTTTATTATTATATAAAGGAAATGCATGCCTCAATGCTTTTACAGGATCCTTTCCCACTAACGTACAATGAGCTGCTGCCCACTTATGTGATTTTCTCTTTCCCAAACATACCATGCAACCCCCCTTCCCCCACCCAAAAAAACAACAACAAAAAAAACACAACAAACAAACAATACTGATAAAGGATGAAAAAAAATATGTTATGTCCTAACTTCCAGCACCTAGTCCAGTGTGATAAATCACATACCATCACAAGAACACTGTACTTGATCTGCTGAACTTTCCCCTATGACCCCTATGAATTACAACATTTCTCCTGTCCTACTTAGTAATTACCCTTTATTTATCAATGTAGATTGTAGTATTTACAAATAAACTGACAGAAGACAAGTAGCGAGGATTAAAATAAATAATAGCACTGGGCATCTCTGAAAGATAATACCCCAATGTTAACTAAGCTTAATAATGAATCCAATCAAAATAATCAAGCACCCCGCAAAACGTGAATACTTGTTCTTTCCCCATAGAAACAAAGAAAACGTACATGTTCACAGTCCAATTAAAAAACAACTATCAAATAACATCCACCCCACTGCCCTGCACCTACTTTCTAAAATCCTGCCTTCTGTGTACAACAATCTCTTTAATCCACAACTTTCTAGCATTCACAATTACATGTTCCAATACCAAACTGCCCCCTGTGGTGGCAGCACCATTGCACATTCACTATGCATTATATCCAGAACATCAGGACTTATTAAGTATTATATCACCATATCTTTAATCTGTACACAACATACATTCTATCCTCTCCTAGAGTTAACTATTACAATTAGTGCAATGACTAGCTGCTCTATTGACAAATCTCAATTTCTCATCTACCCAGATGACCACATATTAACTGTAGGATTACGTGATGTGTAAGCCCCATAATAAAGCATTGACTCAATGCTCTCCTATAGGGAATTTTGAATGCGCGTGTGGCACTGGTCACCCATTTTAGGTCCCCTACGCTCCTCTATGATACCATGATATTGCAAGGGGAAAAGGTCTAAGCAGTACCAAAGAAGCCTCAGCACTGGATTTTATTTTTATATTTTTTATTGCCTGGGGGGATCTGGAAAGGAGTAGGGGCAGGGACACTATAGCATTAGAAATGCAGGTTTGTATTCTTATTTCCTTGAAGAGATCCTCTAAAGCAGCAATGGTGAATTCATGGCACTGGTACCACCAGGGACACTCAGTGTCAGCATGCGCGCAATCCATGCAGGTCAATATGCATTCAAATCACATAATACAATGCAGGATATATTCGGGGGTAAGCGGCTGCAATTACAGCTAACACTGTCCAACAGGAGATATTAACATGTGACAAATGTTAGAAATGATGTAAAACAAAATATGAGGAACAATGGAAAGTAAAAAGGAAGGGAATTTGATAGAAAAACAGGTATGAAAGCGAGAGAATAAAAAAAGGAGGAGTATGGGCAGAGATATGGAAGAGACTTTCAGTATGTGCTGTGTGAAGATTTAAATAATTTACATGACCAACATCATCTCAGCAGCAAACATATATGTGCTCTAACAGCTCCCAGCTTTAAAAGTGAAAGCCCCTAAGATCCCACAACAGACATTAGCTGCATTCAAAGTGTGGTTGTCAGGAAAACACATGAGGCTTTTTGTTCCAAGGACAATTCAAAGTTCTAAAAGTAGAAACCAGTGAAATGTTCCTACTGCTCTAGTTTTAGGACTTTGGCCCATGATTGTTATTTAGAAATAAATAAGAATTCAAACTTTGTGCAGAATTTTAAAGCTCTACACATTGCAATAGACCAGTGTTTCTTAAAGGAACACTTCAGCTCTATAAATAAATACTTTTATATATATATATATATATATATATATATATATATATATATATATATATATATATATATATATATATATATATATATATATATATATATATATAATGCTGGAGTGTTGGGGTGTTTCCTGGGCTTCCTTGCTCCCCTAAATAAACATATTAACGCAGTCTAGAATCCAGCGCAGCTCTCATCTACCTGGCAGGATATTTTTTGTACTGATGATCTCCAAGCCAAACAAATGCTTCTAATATAAAAGCATTGGGATGCAGGGCACATACACAGTCTTTTGTTAGCTTCGCTTGCAATGCTTCTAATAAAGAGGCATTAAATCCAATGCTTCTCTGCGATGAGCATTGTTTGGATCAATCAGGAAGAGCACCTTACTGGCTACCCGACTGATAGCTGGGAGGGTGTATTAGACATTTTATAAAGTGCCAAATATCTCTTGAAATCCGCACTTGTTAAATAGTGAGGGGACATGGTTTTAAACGCTAAAGCCTTTAGAGGTTTGGAGTGTTCCATTATCCTCTGGGACAGAAATTAAATGAGGTCCTTAAGCCACTTCAGTAGGTCCCCAAAGGTTGGAACAGTAACATCTTATTGTGCTGTAGTGGTTATGATGCAAGGAGTGCCCTGTCGCAACCATGCTAAGTATTTAGTTTTAAAACATTTTGACTTCTTACCTGTCGCTGCACAGCTGGCTTAGCTCAGACAGAGAACTTCTGGCTCTTTGTATGAAGTAGTGACAGCAGGGTGTGGCTCACGATGAACCCCAGGTAAGAAGTTAAACAATTCAGAAACGGTTTGACTACTTACAATTGGAGAGCACCTGGGATATCCTAACACCTTAACTACTGCAGCGTGTTGTAAGGGTTAAGACGCATGGAGTGTACCATTAATCATCAACAAATTAGTTTATACATGTTTTGAATGACTACTTACTTGCACAATAATCAGAGGGACTCTATCCAAAGACTATGGCCACCATAAATTCTACAATAAGGTAGGTGTTACGATGCACACTATGTTCCACCATTATTTTTTGGGGAGAAAATGGAAACATTTCTAACATGCACAAATTGCATTCCATGTCCCTTAAGAATTACAGATAAAATGTCTTTTGGATCTTACTATTCACTAGGAAGCACATATGTGGAGGCACAAACATGCTTTCTTTCACAATGACTAATGAGGTTATAAAGATTATAAATGGAATTGGAAAATGTAGGCCAAAATAGCACAAGTGGAAAGATGATCAACTCCGTAAATTTTTCCAGCTTGTCTGTTTTGGAATAGCTAACATTAGATACTAGTGATGTCCCGAACGGTTTGCCGCGGACGGGCGAACATATGCGGTAAACTTTGACCCTGTACCTCACAGTCAGCAGACACATTCCAGCCAATCAGCGGCAGACCCTCCCTCCCAGACCCTCCCACCACCTGGACAGCTCACTAAGAATGCAGCTTCACAATGAATGTAAAATGGATGCTGTCCAGGAGGTGGGAGGGTCTGCTGCTGATTGGCTGGAATGTGTCTGCTGACTGTGAGGTACAGTGTCAAAGTTTACCGCATATGTTCGCCGTCCGCAGCGAACCGTTCGGGACATCACTATTAGATACCATTTAAAATGAAGACGGCACATGATATGTGGACCAAAACCAGGTATCTCCCAGCAATAAGTTGTTTACTGTAGTGGCAATTCCTTTCTCAGTACAACAGAGACCTATTTGACACCGGAAAATGTCTATTAAAATTAAGAAATTATTTTAATATGCTTAATGATAAAGTTGAAGAATGGCTGCCACGCTAATACCACATACACAAGTTGTATCCCTGTTAAAAATGAAGTAAATTTATACATGTGACAGAGAAAACCTGCTACAATAGACTAAAGGGAGAAATCACAATTAAAGTGTATCAAATCATGTTTATAAAGCACTTTCAATCCAGTAGTGGCTATAAATGAAAATTAAAGTATTCATGCTTGGAAAGAGGATAGATTATTTATCAGACTAGGACTGATCAAACAAGGTTAGATCTTTTTGTTTGAATACCCAGCATTCTGACACTCAGGTTTTTAGATTCATTGCATGCAGCGTCCTATGAAGCTTCACCTTGCGCTTTTGCTGTGAGGTGCCTGTGTTAATGTTCCCGGTCGCCCTGCGTGCCTCTTCTTCGTGCTGCTTTATCTGCTCTTGTAATAGAATGAGTTCACCAAGCAAACCCTGCCATGAGTTCATAGAGAGAGAAAGAAGGGGTGAAGGTGGAAGACAAAAACGTGATTGGGAATCAAATAAAATAAAAGGGGCAAGCTAAACACAAATGAGAAGACAGAAATGCCTAGGGTCAAAATGGAAACAGACTGGTGAGTGCTGCACTTAACAGAAGAGTGATAGTATCTAAAATAAAGAAATGAACATTAGATGACTTTTAATCTTTTTTAAAGGGACACTAAGCACCAGTACAACTTTAACTAAATGAAGCGAATTTGGTATATGAGCTTGCCCCCACAGTCTCACTGCTCAATTCTCTGCCATTTAGGAATTAAATCACTTTTGCTTCTGTTTAGGCAGCTGTAGCTACACCTCCCACATGCTACATGAAAAAAAAGGTTTCATTTCCAATCAGAAGTAACAACACATCTGATATATTATAGAAGTTTGTACATACAGCTCTGTTACTTGAACTTTAAACCACACTCAGCAGGCTCCTGCAGGTGCTTACAGGCAATTAACAGAGCAAGAAATAAAAAAAATTAAAAAAAAACTCTAAATTAAATACCATGTGAGGTAAAAAAAAGTTTAAACATATCTCTCTTTACATGGCTGTATAAATAAAGTGAATTAACTACTAAATGACAGAGATTTTAGATTGCAGGGGCAAGATCTATACATAAAATGACTAGAATAAACAAAGGTTGTTTTGGTACTTATAGTATCCCGTTTGTATCAAGAGTTTTACAACTACAAAAAAAACAACAGAAGCAACTATGTGTATGTTGCTATTAAGTTAAGTTAAATGTTACACTCACTTCCTCTGTATCCAAGCAAAAGCGTTTCTGCAGGTTCTTAATATTCACATGAATTGCATTATTATATATTTAAAAGCTGTAATGCTTTAACTGCAGCACATTAAATGTTTAAGTACTAGCCAGATAAAAGTAAGTTTGCAACAGCTGTTAACACAATAACTATCCTGCCGCTATCTGCAGAGTGCATGCTTAGAGCGCAAAGCAAAGCAGAACGTGATGCCAGGATAGTAGCAATGGCAAATCTTCAAAGTATGTAAGATGGTATGATGGAATATCGTGAAAAGACCTTGGGTATGTGAGCAGGATAATAGCCTCCATATAACTAACCACAAACACATAGATGGACATTTGCTGAGAAACGTATATCTACTGTCTAAATTAAGCGTAATGACACAGAGGATCCAGAATTTAGCTGCTACGCTCTAGAACAGGCATGGGCAAACTGTTACTATTCAGCTGCAGGAGAATCACGACACCCATGATACTCATCAATCTTGATGCCTTAACGCTATAATCTTGGGATCACCACAGATTTCCCATGCCTGCCATGAAACATGCTATTAAAATACATCAAAACAACAGATATTTGTAAACACAAGGACTACACAGATTACACGTGGGTATTCAAAACTTGTGTTACACTCAAAAAATAAAGGGCTGGAGGGAATAAAAAAAAAAAAAAAAAGCAAGGAAAACCGAACATGATAGGTTCTTGCTTGGTTAATTCATTGTTTCATGTAGTGGAAAAACAGGTTAGGACTACCATGTTTAAATACGAAGTCAGATTTTCTTTCATGGTTGCATCAATCCCCAAAACACCCCAGGAAAACACCCCAACACCTACCCAAAAGCAATCAACGCAAATCTGATTTAGATTACATATCTTTATTGGTCTATGTGGTTTTATCAAGAAAAATGCCATGTAGTCTCAAAACATCCTAAACTAGCTGGATTCCATTCAATGCTGAATCCAGCTGATATATAGAGTACATTTTAGAACTCCTTTCTTACCGACAGCTGATGTATCCAGGGAAAATGCAAGTAAGAAAAACGCTGTGAATAATTCTGTTCTATATAAAGTACTGATCCAAAAATCAAACCACACTCTCCTATATTGTTAAAGGACCACTCTAGGCACCCAGACCACTTCAGCTTAATGAAGTGGTCTGGGTGCCAGGTCCAGCTAGGGTTGACCCATTTTTTTTATAAACATAGCAGTTTCAGAGAAACTGCTATGTTTACAAATGGGTTAATCCTTCCTCCAAAGCCTCTAGTGGCTGTCTCATTGACAGCCGCTAGAGGCGCTAGCGTGATTTTCACTGTGAAAATCACAGTGAGAGCACGCAAGCGTCCATAGGAAAGCATTGTAAATGCTTTCCTATGAGACCGGCTGAATGCGCGCGCAGCTCTTGCCACGCATGCACATTCAGCCGAATGGGAGGAGAGGAGGAGGATCGGAGGAGGAGAGCTCCCCGCCCGGCACTGGAGAAAGGTACGTTTTTACCCCTTTCCTCTCCCCAGAGCCGAGCAGGAGGGGGTCCCTGAGGGTATGTTTTCCTGGCACTATAGTGGTCCTTTAACCCCTTAAGGACCAAACTTCTGGAATAAAAAGGTAATCATGACATGTCACACATGTCATGTGTCCTTAAGGGGTTAAAAGCCTATACTGCTTGGTAAAAAGAACACTCTAAACACAAAGCACTTTAGCTTTCTAAAGTGCTTTATTTGTGACGAGTGTGTCCTCCTTTTTCCATTTTCAAAAAGAGTGGATTTCAATAGAAACGGTCACTTTTATACAGGAGCCTTGTTACACCTCTCTGGCTGTCAGACAACCGGTCCAGTTACTTCTTCGTTGTTTAGCTCCTTTATCTCTTGACACATAGGTAGTATTGATGAATGCAGCAAATCTACATAGCATATGATTTATCTGTACCGGCTTGGTCAGAAATCATTTATGAAGGGAACAGAAAACCATTTATAAGGGAAGCAACAGGCAGTTACCTGGTGATAACCCCAATTCAACAATGAGCAAGCAACAAATACTGACAACAGAAAAGGGTGATCTTCTAACTTTAGATGGTATATCAAACACAAAATACATTTTTATTTTTGATGGAAAAAAGTAACATGGGTTCATAGGGTTTTTGGTCTGTTTTTTTTAAACTTTTGTGGGTAAATTAGTATCTATGTATATTTTGTTCCAATGCAGCCTAGGATATTTTGAACTGTCACTAACATGCAAATGCACAACCACAAAAGGAGGAATCCAGGATGAGAGAAGTTAAATGGAGTCAGAGTCTTAAAATGCCATTTCCACTTTGTGTAGGATGTGCACTAGAAAATCCTCTTAGAGCACGCAAACAAAAACTGCTAAAACCATGAAGATTAGTGGTTTGCAAATACAGACCACTATAACCTTGTCAAAACACATATGAAGTTCACACGACCGAAGTTTAAACAAATTGTTTATATATATGTGTCTTTTTCTTGGAACTGTGCATTTAAAGAACAATTCAATTGTAATTGGTCTCATCCATCTATATCCTTATTTGATTAGCTTTTGGATAGCTTTATACAATGTGACCTTGTGTCTCAACGGATGCAAGGGATATTGTAGGTGTTTTACGCACATTATAGTTGCTTTTACAGTAGTCAAGCATTAGTTACCGGCAGGGCAGGCCTTAGGGGTGTGTGAGCTGTGTGGTCACACAGGGCGGTCATGGCAGTACAGGGGCCATGCAACCGACACAGCTCACACATGCCCCTAGTGACAGGTGTGAGGGGTGCTCAAAGCACTCCTATACTGCTGACCGCGCTGCCCCTGCTCCCCCACCTACCACTACCCCTGCTCCCCCACCTACTACTACACTACCTCTGCAACCCCACCTACTACTAAACTACCTCTGCTCCCCCACCTACAACTACTGTGTCCCCTCATCCCATACCAACCTCCACACTACCCTGCTTCCCCCTCAGCCCATAATGTAAAGAGGTAACAGTCTGTCTGTTACTGTGTGTGTCTCCCTGAAACTGTGTTTGCTACTGCTTGCAAATGTATGTGTGACTTTTTGCCTGTAACAGTGTGTGTACAACTGTCTGTAGCAGTGTGTTTACGACTGTCTGCCTGTGACTGTGTGCGACTGCCAATACGTGTATCACTGACTGACTGTAACTTTGTGTGGGTAGCTACCTTTAAATTGTGTATGTGACTCTGCAAAAATACACACCTCCACACATACATATGGGCCTACATACATATTTTTATCTGAATGAAATACCCATCACACAAAGATAATAAACCCTGCACAAATATCACACTGATCCAATACATATATCACACGAAGTCAATATAATCACTACAATTATTACATACAGACAACAAACATATCACACACAGCCATCATTCATGCCTATCACACACACACAGACACCACACAAACACCATTACATCATATTGTTATGAAATTTATAACAGCGGAGCTCTGTCATACAAAATACAATATGTAGCTGTCTTCCAAGCTCCGGCCAATCAGAATGTTGCCGCGGATTACCACAGGAAAGCTCTGACACTGTAAATGCCAGAGCTCACAAGACAGTTACTTATGGTCTGCACCTGGTGGAGGTGCCGACCAGATTGCCAGCACACTGGACCACCTGAGATCAGCATCCCCCACTCCATGCAAGGTAACAACAGGGAAGCGGAAATTAATTTTTGTTTTTAAATAATTATTAATTTAATAAATCCCATGTACAAACACTACACCTATTGACACACACTATACATGGATGAAGTGGTATGACCAGGAGGGCGCTGTAAAGATTTTTCACACAGGGGCCTAAAGGCATAAGGCTGGCCCTGGTTACAGGACCAGGAATTTTATACTTCTACCCAGTGATAAAGCTATTGATGGGGCACCAACATTTATGTTATACTCTGACATAACAACTATATGTCAACACAAGGGCAAAGTTGCCTACCACACACTTTTTATGAGACCAGGGTAAGCCTTATAGTTAGCCTATAACATGCAAACCTCTTTCAAGACAAGCAAACATATACACATTTTGGATTACTAATAAAGATTTAAAACAGAATATTGAAATACTGAAATGGTATTTTATGTAATATGTTTCTTCACAAAGGGACTTAGGTTCACACATTTGATTTTAACCACACTGGCAGATGTTATTAATCATCTCTCCATGTGGTTGGTAGGGGCTTCATCCCTAGCACATATACACACTGTGCTGGGTTTCTTATACCACTAACAGCCACAGTTTCTGTTGGGTCACACAGCAGTGACACAGAGTATGTTTAATCATGGGTAATCTAACACTAGCACACTCAATTTTCACTCACCAATGGTGATAGAGGTAGTGAAAACTTTGAGATTTAACATATCATTTGAATTCCTCTATATTGGAAAATAAAATCACATTAATGAAAGACAATTATTTACAGAAGACGAAAAAAAAGTATTCTATGCAAATTTAACAGAAGAAATAGGCATTTGTCAACCTATTTGTGTACAGATAAAGAATTAAATAATATACTGTAAGAAAAGAAAATTAAAGTGGAACTGTCACTTTTCAGGCCTCTGCATTTTGTGCAAAGACCTGACAAAGCGACATGTTCACTTGTGTGGAGGTCTCAGACTTGGGAGCACTTAAAGAAACATACTTACCTTAAAGGACCACTCTAGGCACCCAGACCACTTCAGCTTAATGAAGTGGTCTGGGTGCCAGGTCCTTCTAGGGTTAACCCATTTTTTCATAAACATAGCAGTTTCAGAGAAACTGCTATGTTTATGAATGGGTTAAGCCTTCCCCTAATTCCTCTAGTGGCTGTCTCATTGACAGCCACTAGAGGCGCTTGCGTGCTTCTCACTGTGATTTTCACAGTGAGAGCACGCCAGCGTCCATAGGAAAGCATTATGAATGCTTTCCGGGACTGAATGCTTGCGCACAGCTCTTGCCGCTGCGTGTGCATTCAGCCGACGGGAAGAGAAGAGGAGGATCGGAGGAGGAGAGCTTCCGCCCAGCGCTGGAAAAAGGTAAGTTTTAACCCCTTTCCCCTTTCCAGAGCCGGGCGGGAGGGGGTCCCTGAGGGTGGGGGCACCCTCAGGGCACTATAGTGCCAGGAAAACGAGTATGTTTTCCTGGCACTATAGTGGTCCTTAAAGCTGTCCTCCTTCAGTGCTGTCATAATTTCATCTTCCAGGAGTTGTCATTATTGGTCTCTTGCGCATGTGCAATAGTACAAAAGAGGATCCCGCAGACTCTTTCACAGATAATCTTGCAAATGTGCAGTAAGGTGCCACAGGAAACAATTGTGAGTAAAAACTGCATTTTTCTAAAGTTGATGAGGCTGCAAAGAAGAGGCCGGCCTGCAACTAAAGGTAAGCCCTGCCCATGACCAGGTGGGATCTATACCAACCAGAAGATGATCATTCTTGTCTATGGTATATGTATCAATGTGGAATAGATAATGGATACTGCACTCTCCAGGCTGGTGCTCAAGAGTGCTCCAGGGTGCTCAAGACTGAGGATGGTTAGGTCTCACTTCCAGATAGAGAAAGTAAATATTGATCGAGGCACTCAAGGATAAAAGCCAAAATAGAAGCTTTATTGAGAGCAAAACAACAGCAATGTTTCAATGCAGCAGGATATTTGACAAGCTTGGATAAGTGATGAATATACAACAACCCTAGCCACATTGAGGCTTTGACAAGTTTACAGACAGTCATGTTATGTGAGAATAGCTGTGTTTGTATGAGATTGTGTGTCTTAATAAGAGAGAGTGGTAGTATGTAACAGAGTGGCTGTGCGTATATATGTTACATTTATACTTTGTTAGTTGTATTCTCATTATATACCTGTCCTGAATACATATGTTAACACGCTGAGAGTCCGAAGTTTCGTTTATGTGTTAATCAATGGTGACAGGGCTTATATTTCTATGAGATCCTATTCAAAGTGAAGTACAACTGGTGTGCCATTGCAAATGCTCCTGTGTGCAGAGTTCTTTATTATTTTATTAATGTATACTGGTGCTGCTTTCCAGCATTGCTAACTTATGCCTAACTCATAAAAAGATAAACAGAAGAAAACAAATTACATACCTACACATATATGACTAACATACATACAGTCCTGTATTTTATTTAACACAGCAATAACAGTGAGTGATGTCTTACCCAAAAGAGATGCCCTAATTTCCTAGTCATTACAAATACATTAGTTGTAATGTAAGGATGACAAACAAAGATTCAGGTTGCTTTCAATAATACAGCTGATGCCTAACTTCTGAGTATATGCAATGGAATGTACAAATTATATTCCTTCTGAAACTGCCATTTTGAAAAACAATACAAGTATTTAATGTCCCATAATTCCCTGTAGGTTGTCTATGAATGCAAATCCACATGCAGGGAATCATGAGAAAAATATGGCTGGCATACCTGCATGAACAAAACAGGTTAAAGGGACACTCCAGGCACCTAGACCACTTCTGCCCATTGGAGTGGTCTGGGTGCCAACTCCCATTACCCTTAACCCTGAAAGTGTAATAATTGCACTTTTTATAAACTGCAAAAATTACCTTGCAGGGTTAACTCCTCTAGTGGCTGTCTTCTAGATTTCTTCTAGACAGCCACTAGAGGGCACTTCCTGGTCTATAGCGTCGCTGGACGCCCTCGCGCTGTGTGAGGACCTCCAGCGTTGCTAAAATCCCCATAGGAAAGCAGTGAAAAGCAGGTCATTAGGTCTCCCCCGCCGGCGTGATGAAGGGGAGGAGCATGAGCGGAGGAAGAAGCAGCGACGTGGGACATGTCGCTGCCTCTGGTTAGTCACTGAAGGGATTTCCCCCCCCTCAGCAACCGGGGATGGGAGGTGGGAGGACCTGCCGTGCCAGGAAAACGGATTGTTTTCCTGGCACTGGAGAGTCCCTTTAATGATGCTAATCACTCAGAACTCTAGAGCAGAATACTTGCCGCCAGAACATACTTCACTCAAGTAAACTTTTCATATGCCTTTCCGGATCGATGGCCTTGATTTTTGGAAGAAATCTTTTAAAAGATCTTAGCTAATCCAAGCAAAATGCATTAATTCCTGGCCATAATATAGAATTCTTAACTCTAAATGACTGTATCATTTTTTCTAATTGTTTGCACATTTTTTATTAATATTTGCTTTTAGCCAAGTAATATAAACAGTATTTTTTTCTATTAAAGTACATATATATATATATATATATATATATATATATTATAAATTTTTATACCCATTTAATACTCTTTCATTCCTTTTTCCTTAACTAATATGGCAACCGTGACCTTAGAGCGTTCTGTGATTGGACACTAACAGAGGGAAGAAATCGGTGGTTGCGGCTATGCAACGTGCTTGGGGGGCGGCCCGCCATGTATTGGTGACGTGTCTTCTGCCTACCCCAGCCAACACTGTAGCCGGACCTCCCCTTTCCTATGTCACAGAGGAAGAAGGATTTGGGGGAGATGTGGCCGTGCGTGTGCATTGAAGGTAGTAATGAGCAGGATATCCCGCAATGTCACGTTTACTGACCACAAATTAAATATTAAGCAAAATCGGTGGAAAAAATATCCACCTAATCTGATTTTGGGGAAACAGGTGAATATATTGTAGTTTAAGGGAAAGAGGTATTAGGACATCATGCTTTGACAAACAGACAACACATGTGACCCAAAGGGAGGGCCTAGACGAAATTTTTTAAAAATATGGAAGTTTCATGGTATCAGATCACAGATGACAGAGGAAGCTCCAGGAGTAGTGAAACGTGTTTTGGCTATATTCAGAACTTTTCTTTATATAAGTATATATTCTATTTGCTCATTTAATGATTTATTTTATATGTTTTAATACCATTTTTCCTTAAATAAATTTAATAGCACTTCATAAGCCCTCTGAAGCCTCAAGAATCTTCATTGGGGTTGTGCCATCCCCTTTATATTGGTACTATAACTGCTACACTCAGAGCAATGATTTTAAGGATCTGAACAAAGTGAGCGTAACACCTATTTTACAAATGAGTATACAAATGAGCTCAACAAAGAATCACATTTTGCCTCATAATTCCACTTTATACATGGTTTCCTTGGAGTATGTGTCTGCTGCATACAACAGCTTTGAAACAACTCAGGAAGAGGTGCAATGCCAGTGAACCACTCATGGACAGCTCTTTCATTGTTATTTTTTATAGCTTGCCTGGTGTGTGTATTTGTGTTTAACATTGCATGAACCCCCTACAGTGCTCCACTGAGGGTATAGGCTGTACCACCTGTTTTTTTTTGTTTTTAAAAAAACTTCAGCTATCAAAAGAATGTATTTTTGTTTTCATACGCACTCGCTGGGCACACTGACAGAATCTTAACACCAGGAAAGAACAGAAGATGAAAACCCTGATATATAGTACTTATTCCCATGAACATAATATTAATTAATACAATACCAAAGTAGACGGATTTTTTTTTAATTCTATTGCATTCTAATCTCACGATGTTTTATTACAGTATATAATAGAAATAGTATTCAATTACAGGATACATTAGCATCATGTATTCAAATATTGCTCTATAATGATAGATACGGTTTGCAAAAGACTATGTACATTACTATAAGACATTGTTATGAATTGTAAACAACCTTACACTGTTACAGTGTGAAAACTTAAACGGACATGCATCACTTTGCCTTACAACATGGAAGGTGAAAAGGTCTGATCAGTGTGATTCATGCAGAGCAGGCATTAGTGTAGGGTTTCTCTCTATAGAACTTAGTTATGGCAAGTGGAAATACAAGACTAATGCCCTGTTTCTGTCACAACTGGGTAGATCTGAAAGAGAGATGGGTTCTCCAAAGTTTTTCTTGCATTATTTTGGTTTGTATATTTGTTTATAATAAGTGTTTGCTTGCTAGTTTAAAAAAAATAAATAATTGTCAAGTCATGCATGTCTCTTTAATACCAACTTTGTTTTAATAAAAAATAAATAAAAAAAAAACCTACTTAATGTTTTCTCACCTTTTTGTATTGTTTTTCACTTTCAAAACCTTGACTATCTGAAGCTTTAAAGGCAGTCTCCCCTCCTGAACCTAAATAAAAGAAGCCAGAGTGCACAATATCATGTCATAGATATGATTATCTTTAAAAATTAAATCAATTCAATCAGAAAGTGTCAATAAGATATTTCCAATTATTTATTTTAATAGTCTATAGTATATATAATAATATTCTTTGAATTGCACTATATGGTTGATGCCTACAGCTAGATACCAGGTGGGTGGACAATTGTAATGTTCACTGGCTGCGGATAGATTATTTCCTTTTTTTTTTTTTTTTATACTCGAAAGACATGTCACAATCTGAATAAACTGTGTTGGAGTACAGGTGAAACAGAATTATGTAAAGGCCTTTGAGAAATGAATTGCTCATTTAAGGCCAAATTGCAATGAATGCTGTTAATATGTGAAATTAATACAATTATAGACATATGATAAACATTGCAATAGCTGAGGCTTCCTTTCCAGTAACAGCCAGCAATATAAGTGGTATAGTCAACTTTCATAACAAAATGGACTAATTGAGAAGTAAGAAAAATGGGAATGGGACATCTTTAAAAAGTTAAATATCAGCTAAGATTCACACAATCCCCCCAACACCACACCAGACAATTCCTGTGCTAATGTCGTATTATGCTTAGCCATTTAATGTGATATTTAAGAGGAACTATCAGATAATTGTGTTAATAGGGCAACATAGATGGCATTTACACACCTAACAACAGTAGCAGATCAGAAGCTCCTATGACTTCACTAACCAAATTGTGACCTGTGAAAGATTGGCAAAAAAAGGGGAAAAAAGGATATTGTGAAGTGTGAAAGCATGGTTGCAAACCTGGAAAGGAAACCCACTGCTACTTAAACTGAAATGCATTAAAATATACAAATGACAATAAAAACGAAAAATTAAAGGGTTACTCCAATTATATTTTAATGCATATTTATTTTTCTATAAAAATAAAAACTTTTTATTTTTTTTTAAGTATTTTCCTTACCTGGAATCTAGTGCCATGTGTGGTCCAATCAAAGGCTTTGATCGGACCATATCACCGGCTCTGAGCACATGAGTGCGTTCTGAGCCGGCTAGTAGAGGGAGTGGAAGGGAGATTGGGTGTGGGGAAAAAAACAAACAAACAAAGGTATAGGGACGCAGGAAGGGCTGAACTGGAGGAGAAGCTCAATACGTCTGTTGACAAATGTAAAATATGCACAGAATTGACATTCGGCATTCTGGAAAAGACTTCTAGGCTAAGTGACATGTGCCGGAGGGTGGGGGACTACAAACACTGCACATACACATGCCCACCCACATGACCACTTCTAAAAGTGGTTATGGTAGTTGGAGTAACCCTTTACATGGTCATACGTAATGTAATAGAAGTGAGACATGATAACGCATTTTGTATGTATGTGTGAATTTAAATTAATTAAATTTACCATGTTCAGCGTTTGGTATTTTTCATAAAAACAAAACCTTACAAAAGTTGTGAAAATATTAGTTGAAAGAGAGTCATGCAAAATGTACACTGAATTATACTATAAGTAATTTTCAGAGACTGTTACTTATATTAAAAATACATATTGTTGTGTCTCACAACTTGTAACTAAATTGTGCGATCAATGAATTCTAATAAATGTATACATTGTTGGCAGAAAATTGCCAATTTGGCAACATCAGTATTACATAAGGTGCTGAACTGAGGATGTGAAAAGTTGTGGCAGATCCACACGTCAAGTCTTATTGCAGGTACCACTGTTAAAGGGGTTTGAGAAAGAAAGGCTTACAAGGGAAACCCTGTGGGCATGAACAGCACATGCAATGGACTGGTGAGTTTAAATAAGCCATACATGCCCTAAAACCATATGCTAACATTGGCCTGAATATTATAAAGCTGGAAGCAACATAATAAATTGAGGATTACAGTACCACATTTGCAAACATTATAATGTGCTCTTGCAAATAGTGTGAGTAAAAGCATCTCCCATAAACTCAAAATTCAAGCATTGTCTTATACAAAAACAAATGTTCACACAGTTAACAGCATAGAAGGGGGGATGTGCAGTTTCACATTTTCTAACTACCATCAATAAGGGCAATATTGGTGGTAACAGAAGATTTGTTTACAGAATAAATGTTTCAAATCAAGAATTAAAAAGATTGAATGAGACAAAACAAAAAATGTGATACAGATAATTGACTAATACAACTGATGAGATGAAATATTTATCCCCTCACCTGATGAAAGCCATCCTTTTAATAAGCTAAAACTTTCACCCAGCTTCTCAAAATCAGGCAGAAGTTTAGCTAGTTCGTCAGAATCTGGGAGAGCTTTTCTAAATTTATCTGTAAATGAAGATCCAAATGTCACAAAGTATAAAACATTACATGCATGTCTGTCATTACATCCATTTTAAAAAGAGACGATCATAAAAAATATGTTTTATAGGATGTTAAAGGGGAAAAAAAAAGCTGTGCATTTGCGATCAGCATTATTCATTAAAGTCCAAATGCAACAAGGACACAAACAAAAAAAACTAAACGAATTGCAACCCAATTTTGACACAATATGCAAATCTGGTTGAAATTCAGTTAGTTCAAATAATGAGTGCATTACATTTGGTAACATACAGTGTTTTCTTTAAAATAGTAATTGTAATATACAAATCATATGTAAAATATTGGATTTGCATACTTAGCAAACACTGGATATATAACCAGATTAACTTTACACACATCCAGCAGAAGTGTCATTGGCAAAATAAATTAATTTGCGTTTTTCATGCAAACTGCAGTATTTGACCACTGGCAGCACAAGTGGTCAGGTGGTAACTGGTAAAATATTAATTATGATGAACACGAATGCATGTTTACTAATCCATTTGTTTGTTTTAAAGGGACGCTAGTGATTGACCAAGAGATCTCAATAAAATACTGGTTAATAGGGATATTACTAGAGAAGGATTAGTACCTCAAAAGATGATTTAGTCTCATGAAGAAACTTGTTAGATTTTGGATGCTCCTACACACTATATCCGAGTAACTTTTTTACGGATTTTAAAATGTTTAAATAAATATATGTTTTTACATCAACAGATGATTTCTATTTTATGGACTTGAAGCGTGGGACAAAACCCTTTTTTTTGTTCTTGCTTCAAAATGTCATTAAAAGTTTGCTAGTAGTGGAGGTGTGGAGAAGCACCTGATGGACCACAGGTAAGAGGTGAAATTGTTCAAACTATCCTGACATCATAACCACTAAACTGATAGCTTTCTGATGTAGAAATCTGACAATTGGACAACAACTCTCAGAAACCCTTGCTTTTTTTCCCCAAAATTACTGCACATGGGATAAGCTAAGCAGTGCTTGTGTTAAAGGAGCCTCATTGAGGCTGAGTAGCCGAGTTTGGATATTTGCAAGAATTTCAAACTTGTGTCTTTTTTAATATTTGTATACATTATCGATTTAAAGGACCACTCTAGGCACCCAGACCACTTCAGCTTAATGAAGTGGTCTGGGTGCCAGGTCCTTCTAGGGTTAACCCATTTTTTCATAATTATAGCAGTTTCAGAGAAACTGCTATAATTATGAATGAGTTAAGCCTTCCCCCTAATCCTCTAGTGGCTGTCTCATTGACAGCCACTAGAGGCGCTTGCGTGCTTCTCACTGTGAAAATCACAGTGAGAGCACGCCAGCGTCCATAGGAAAGCATTGTAAATGCTTTCCTATGAGACGCTGAATGCAGCGCAGCTCTTGCCGCCGCGCGCATTCAGCCGGCGTAACGGAGGCGGAGAGGAGGAGGAGAGCTCTCCGCCCAGCGCTGGAAAAAGGTAAGTTATTACCCCTTTCCTCTCCCCAGAGCCGGGCGGGAGGGGGACCCTGAGGGTGAGGGCACCCTCAGGGCACTATAGTGCCAGGAAAACGAGTATGTTTTCCTGGCACTATAGTGGTCCTTTAATAATATAGAATGGATCAACTCCAGTCACTATTGTCCCTCTGATATTCAAACCTTTAAAATAAAAGCAATCCCAGTAAAATATAAAATACTAACCAAAATCGATGTGTTCATCCAATTCCCATACAAAGTCCGGTACAATCCATTTATATTCACTAAGATCAGGAAACATATCTCTCCATTGATCATATGTCTAAAAATAATAGAATGTAAAATTAGCAAAGAATCTAAGAATCGATAGGTGTCAAAAACTTAACAAAAGAATAAACACATCAATCATACCTTGCCAACATACTTTGGCACACATTAATACGAGACTGCAAAACATACACTGATGTTAAACACTCAGGACATTTGTTTTAAAAATTACTGCAAAATATTTTCTAGTGTTCTCACTTTTTTAGCTGTGTATCCACCGCCAACAGCAGATCCCAACACAAGATAACGGAGTTTCAACACCCGCGATGCCAGTCTAGCAATCCAAAAGTTACGTTTAATTTGGTATCCATAACTGGCTGGCAAAAGTCTGTTTCTCCTTAATGGAAGACGTGACAAAGATGAATAGTATTTAGTCGAGGTCCTGGGTAATGGCTTCTGATTTCTTAATCTTGAAAATGAATATTGGTGAACTCTACGGGAATGTAGCTTCTGCAAGGGGAGTTTGGCTTCTTCAAGAGAACGCTTATTTATCAAACTCCGGCACACAGTGCTAAAATTAAAAAAAAAAGGTTGGTAATTAACACATACATATTGTTCACTCAAGTATATGCCACAGAGTGCAGAAAATAAACATACAAATGATGGTGACACTCACTGCTACAGAAGTCAAATAAAATGTGATATATGGTGGATTCTCTTTTAAATTTAGTTTTGTTATTTAATAAAATCTAAAAATTAAAGGACCACTCCACATAGCTGTTTGTATCTGGAGTCTGTCATATTTGTAGCAGTTTATAATATAAATCGTCACTTTTAGAATTGGCAGAAACACCTCCATGGCTGTCACTCAAACAACCGGGGAGTATTTATTCTGCTTCTGTTAGCTCTATTGAGCTAACAAAAGAAAAAGGCGAGCTCGGCTACTGCAAGTCTGCATTCCCACCTTCTAAAAAAGCAGCATTACAGCTCTTAATGCATAGAAAAGTTGGAATTGCATGCGTCCTCGCAGCAATTGCAACTTTTTGGTTTATTTCCTGGCACAGTCTGAAAATCATATTAAGAGCGAATATCATTTATGCGTTAATCCAATTGTAAAATGGTTTAACACTAAAAGATAAGATGGCGCCAGGGGACACTCCAGGCACCATAACTTACTAATTTGTACCTTTAACTTCAAACAGGAAAATTGTAATATATATATATATATATATATATATATATAGTGTTCTCATATATATATATATGCATCACCATGATACATATATATTGGACAGTCTAAGCACTTAAACTCTTACATCTTAAATGGTTACTACAAGCACCATGACCACTGCAGTGATTAAAAGTGGTCATGTTGCTTGGAGTCTGTGAAACGCTGCACATACACAGATATATGACATTGTTGCCGGAGCTGTAATTCCACCTTGAATTTCATCATTAGCTTACTGGTACAAGTATTTCTGGCTGACTAATGTAAATTTTGAGAATATTGGACGTCTGCTGCAGATGACTAATGTTGGCAGGGCTCCCTCCATGCTGCCCAAATCCTTACCCCAGCCTGTCATCATTGACATCCCTCCCTCTACAACGAGGGGAAGTTATGTCATCTTTTTACGTTTTGAAGGGAGGATGAAGAAAGTAAGAGTTACTATGCCCAAATATTAGTGTAAACCTTTACACTATATAGTGTAACCGACTTAGTTTCTTGATGTCCCACTTTCAGGGACACTAGGGAACTGTCCTCAAAAGCATAGCATGCACACCTCATCATTCATCCCAGGCGTATTGCTTATTGTTTAGGGGACCTCTCCTTTTTCCTGGTTGGGTCTGCCCTGGTTTTGGGCAGCGCATGTGTGACATTCACAACACTGGCATGCCAATCAGGCCCCATAAAGGTGATCCTGCTAATGTAGTGGTTTAGGTACACAGACCTTGTTCCTTTTGTCTGGCAATGTTTACTTTGCAAGAGAACACAACTAGTGGCTGTCAGATTGACTGCCACTAAAGGCAGTTCCTCATGAATATCTTCAAAAATTGAAGGTGTTCAAATTAGGTGTCTTCATGCACATGCAACACGATGAAGCCTAGCACTGCTAAATGTTTATCACTGAGAAGTATTGGATTCATTGTTTCTCTGTGAGAAATGTCAGATTGGCAGAGCATGGCAATTGCCATTAATGCGCCATAAGTCTTCAATTTGTCTCTATAAGAAGCATTGAATTGGACCAAGATCATAATAACTAAACTCAAATGAGGGTGACAGCCCAGTGCTGGATTACAGGTATGTTTAACAATTTTTATTTTATTAGTTTTATTAACCTAATTTAAAAATGAGGGTCCATAAAATAAATAAGGAAATTCACTTAGGGAAAAAAAAAATGCTTTTAATTTTAACCTTAGAGTGTTCCTTTAAATGTAGAGATGTGACACTACAGCAGGACGTTGCTCAGCCTTTCGTCTCTTTCAGTTAAAGGACCACTATAGTGCCAGGAAAACATACTTGTTTTTCTGGCTCTATAGGGTCCTGGAGCCACCCTCACCCTCAGGGTCCCACTTCCGCCAGGCTGAAGGGGGAGTGAAGGGATTAAACACTTACCTTTATCCAGCGCCGGGCTACCTCGGCGCTGGGGAACTCTTCGCCTCCTCCCGACGTCATTGGCTGAATGTGCATGTGTGGCAAGAGCCGCGCGCGTATTCAAACAGTCCATAGGAAAGCATTTCTCAATGCTTTCCTATGGACAGCAGAGTCTTCTCACAGTGATTTTCACAGTGAGAATCGCGGAAGCGGCTGTCAATGAGACAGCCACTAGAAGCTGGATTAACCCCAATGTAAACATAGCAGTTTCTTTGAAACTGCTATGTTTACAGCTGCAGGGTTAACCCTAGACGGACCTGGCACCCAGACCACTATATTGAGCTGTAGTGGTCTGGGTGCCTATAGTGGTCCTTTAATGAAAATGTGCAATCATATAGCGGCTGGAGCTGAGATATATGCTGTATTAATAAATGCAACACAAATATCAGCTATGTGTTTATACATGTGTGGGTAATGTGGGAGATCTAATCCATGTGTTCCTATCTACAGGCAGCCAGCCTAATCTGAGCCATTGTTATGTGTTAAAATCTCTCCTTCCGGGGATGAGAGCTCGGTCAGGGGGTCAGGACACTCACCATGAGGCCCGCAACATTATGTGTTCCCGGGGAGGAGATCGAAGCTCCCTCACAGCCAACCGAGCTGCCAAACAAGGGCAACCAGGAGCTGTCACCGCAGTTCTTCCGGTAAAAGGGTAACGGGTTAGTAAGTCCGCACAGAAACAGGAGAGAGCGAGCCCGGGGTTCCGCGTGAGAAAGGTTCCGATTACTGGAAATAATTATTGTACAGGATCCAGGTCATGAGCAAAGCTATACAGCAAGCATGTCTGTGCACGGGGTGATAACTGATAGGGTAAAACACTGAGTCAGCTTGTCGGCGTTTCATTACTGAAATACATTAACAAATAGTTCATCTACAATGCATACACAAGCGATATTAAAAAACTCTCTAAATAAGACATAGCTAGTGCTGGGAAAATGGGAAGGCGGGCGTTCTACCGATTCCTCTTTAGATCTATAAAGGAGAATTCATTCACAGTTTAAAAGAGAGTTTTCTTCACTTTAAAAAAAAATGGTTTCCATGGTGATTCTCCTTCCTTATATAGTGCTTTGCTACATAATAGTACCTGGTTTTAAATCTCAGAATCAGACCTTCTCATGGATGTTGGAAGAGGGGATACGGTCTGACCCCCTCCCCCAAATCTATTGGGGGTTCAGAATATATATATATAGTAAACACCAAAGCAAAAAAGATGTGTACTAAGGTCTTGCTGCAGCCCAGGAGTGATGGGAGTGAGCGCATGACTTTTCTTTTTGTATATATATATATATATATATATATATATATATATATATATATTGCTCAAAAAAATAGGGAACACAAAAATAGCATATCCTAGATCTAAATGAATTAAATATTCTTCTGAAATACTTTGTTCTTGACATAGTTGAATGTGCTGACAACAAAATCACACAAAAATTAAAAAATGGAAATCAAATTTTTCAACCCATGGAGGTCTGGATTTGGAGTCACACTCAAAATTAAAGTGGAAAAACACACTACAGGCTAATCCAACTTTGATGTAATGTCCTTAAAACAAGTCAAAATGAGGCTCAGTAGTGTGTGTGGCCTCCACGTGCCTGTATGACCTCCCTACAACACCTGTGCATGCTCCTGATGAGGTGGCGGATGGTCTCCTGAGGGATCTCCTCCCAGACCTGAACTAAAGCATCTGCCAACTCCTGGACAGTCTGTGGTGCAACGTGACGTTGGTGGATGGAGCGAGACATGATGTCCCAGATGTGCTCAATTGGATTCAGGTCTGGGGAACGGGCGGGCCAGTCCATAGCATCAATGCCTTCATCTTGCAGGAACTGCTGACACACTCCAGCCACATGAGGTCTAGCATTGTCTTGCATTAGGAGGAACCCAGGGCCAACCACACCAGCATATGGTCTCACAAGGGGTCTGAGGATCTCATCTTGGTACCTAATGGCAGTCAGGCTACCTCTGGCGAGCACATGGAGAGCTGTGCGGCCCCCCCAAAGAAATGCCACCCCACACCATTACTGACCCAGTGCCAAACCAGTCATGCTGGAGGATGCTCTGTCACGTCTGTCACATGTGCTCAGTGTGAACCTGCTTTCATCTGTGAAGAGCACAGGGTGCCAGTGGTGAATTTGCCAATCTTGGTGTTCTCTGGCAAATGCCAAACGTCCTGCACGGTGTTGGGCTGTAAGCACAACCCCCACCTGTGGACGTCGAGCCCTCATACCACCCTCATGGAGTCTGTTTCTGACCGTTGGAGCAGACACATGCACATCTGTAGCCTGCTGAAGGTCATTTTGCAGGGCTCTGGCAGTGCTCCTCCGGTTCCTCCTTGCACAAAGGCGGAGGTAGCGGTCCTGCTGCTGGGTTGTTGCCCTCCTACGGCCTCCTCCAAGTCTCCTAATGTACTGTCCTGTCTCCTGGTAGCGCCTCCATGCTCTGGACACTACGCTGACAGACACAACAAACCTTCTTGCCACAGCTCGCATTGATGTGCCATCCTGGATGAGCTGCACTACCTGAGCCACTTGTGAGGGTTGTAGACTCCGTCTTATGCTACCACTAGAGTGAAAGCACCGCCAGCATTCAAAAGTGACCAAAACATCAGCTAGGAAGCATAGGAACTGAGAAGTGGTCTGTGGTCACCACCTGCAGAACCACTCCTTTATTGGGGGGTGTCCTGCTAATTGCCTATAATTTCCACCTGTTGTCTATCCCATTTGCACAACAGCATGGGAAATTGATTGTCACTCAGTGTTGCTTCCTAAGTGGACAGTTTGATTTCACAGAAGTGTGATTGACTTGGAGTTTCATTGTGTTGTTTAAGTGTTCCCTTTATTTTTTTGAGCAGTGTATATATATATATATATATATATATATATATATATAAACACAGTCAAACAGGAACACTCACTTGGATTTTCCAATAGTATATTTATAGAGTTTTCATCAACCTACATCAATGTTTCGACCCTGAAGGGTCGAAACGTTGATGTAGGTTGATCAAGACCCTGAAGGGTCGAAACGGTAGGTTGATGAACACTCTATAAATACACTATTGGAAAATCCAAGTGAGTGTTCCTGTTTGACTGCGTTTATATATATATATATATATATATATATATATATATATATATATATATATATACACACTGCTCCTGTTTGACTGCTTTTATCTATTGGCTCGGAGGCACCCGGGTAATATTACTTGGATTTATATATTTTTTTGGGTGGAGTGCCAGAGTATGGACTTTTATTTATATATATATACACCCTGTTCCAAATTATTATGCAAATGATATTTTTCTCATTTACCTAAATAATTGATGTAAATAACAGTCAGCATAATTATCATGTTATCAACTATTAAGAGTACAATTCAAATTTTATTGAACAAACCTCCTAATGATAACAGTATTTTTTTTAAACATAAAAAACTTACGATGCACTGTTCCAAATTATTACGCACATTAAGTTTCAAAACACTTTATAGGTTGTAAAGAACTGAAAATTGTCATTTGTTGTGTTTGCAGCATATTTACTGAAATCAAAAGTTATTTCAATCAAACTTATAACAACATTTTAACTTTTTCAACATTTTAACAGATCACGTTACAATTTAACATAGGACCCCTTATTTCATAGCAGCTTCACAAGTCCTGCATCCATTGAACTTGTGAGTTTGTGGACAGTTTCTGCTTGAATTTGTTTGCAAGATGTCAGAATTGCCTCCCAGAGCTGCTGTTTGGATGTAAACTGCCTCCCACCCTCACAGATCTTTTGCTTGAGGATGCTCCAAAGGTTCTCAATAGAATTGAGGTCAGGGGAGGATGGAGGTCACACCATGACTTTCTCTCCTTTTATCCCCATAGCAGCCATTGATGCCCAGGTATTCTTTGCAGCATGAGATGGTGCATTGTCATGCATGAAGATGAATTTATTACGGAAGACTTAGTTCCTCCTTCTGTACCAGGGAAGCAAGTGGTCAGTCAGAAACTCCACATACTTTGCAGGGGTCATCTTTACACCTTCCGGGACCCTAAAGGGGCCGACCAGCTCTCTTCCCGTGATTCTGGCCCAAATTATGACTCCACCACCACCTTGCTGATGTCGCAGCCTTGTTGGAACAGGGTGGCGGTCCACCAACCATCCACTACTCCAACCATCTGGACCATCCTGGGTTTCACGGCACTCATCAGTGAACAGGACTGTTTGAAAATTAGTCTTCATGTATTTTTCTGCCCAATGCAGCCGTTTCTGCTTGTGAGCATTGGTTAGTGGTGGCCGAATAGAAGGTTTATGCACAGTTGCAAGACTCTGGAGGACTCTACACCTTGATGTCCGTGGGACTCCAGAGGCACCAGCAGCTTCAAATATCTGTTTGCTGCTATGTAATGGTATTTTAGCAGCTGCTCTCTTGATCCGATGCATGGATCTGGCAGAAATCTTCCTCAATGTGCCTTTATCTGCACAAACCCGTCTGTGCTCTGAATCAGCCACAAATCTCTTAATAGTGCGATGATCACGCTTAAGTTTTTGTGAAATATCTAATGTTTTCATACCTCGTCCAAGGCATTGAACTATTTCACTCTTTTCGGCAGCAGAGAGATCCTTTTTCTTCCCCATATTGCATGAAAATGGTGCTCTGCTTAATAATGTGGAACACCCTCCTTTAGTAGTTTTTCCTTAAATTGGGCTCACCTGGCAATCTAATTTTCACAGGTGTCCAAGATTGTTTTCAGTGATTAACCCCTTCAGGACGGGTGACGGACGAGGTCCGTCACACAGGGGAGACCCTTAACGACGGGTGACGGACTTCGTCCGTCACGCGGTAAAATTAACCCCGGATCGCCGCTATCGCGGCGATCGCGGGGTTAATGGTGCTCCCGGTATGCCTCTGCATTGGAGGCATACCGGGAGCACCCGGTCAAGCTGCCCAGCACATGTGCTCGCTCTGACCACAAGTCGGAGCGAGCACATGTGCTCTGAATACTTACCTACCGGCTCCCTGCACTTCCGGGTTCTGTGTGAAGGGCAGGGAGCCGGATCAGTGCTGATCCTGCCCCCTGCTGTTTAAAAAAATAAAGTTTATTTAAAGTGTCCCCCCCCTTACCCATTTTAATAAAAAATTAACCCCTTCCCTGCCAATTGATCACTGACTACAGTGATCAATTGGCAGGGATTACATTTTACTATGATCTGATTTTTTTTTTTAACCCCTGAGGGTTAATTCTTTTTTTTTTAACCCTCAGGGTTAAATTAATTAAATTAATTAATTAAATTATTTTTAAATTATATATTTAGATAGCTGGGGTAGGTGGAAGTTAGTGGGGAATTGGGGGATTTGACGTTAGGCTAACTAGGGGTTAACGTTAAAAAAAGTTTAAAAAGAAACTTTAAAAAGTAAAAAATTAAGCTTAAAAAAATGTTTTAATAACATTTAAGTAATAAAAACAAAAAAACACACTTTACCTAGTCCAAATAAAAATTAACCCCTTCCCTGCCAGTCGATCACTGCCTACAGTGATCAAATAGAGATCACAGTATTATACTGTGATCTAATTTTTTTTAACCCCTGAGGATTAACTTTTTTTTTTTTTTTTAACCCTCAGGGGTTCAATTTATTTAATTAATTAATTTAAATAT